CAAGACCTTCCGTCTGGCGGATAACATACATCTCTTCTGAAGCGGGCTCCTCTGAGCATGTTGTTCCGCTTACCTGATTGCAACGACCAGGTTGGCACAGGGGAAACCCCTGAAGCGGAGTTTCGCGTGAGTTGCCAAGGGAATGAAAACATTATGGCAATGACAGGCAGTCTAATTTAATTTGATGAGAATAATAAATTATAAACGATCGCAAACATATTCAAAGGGCCATGAATGAAAGTCAAAAATATGCCCTGCCACAGATTATACTGTGGGCTTAATACCTGTGAGCGAAGAGCGGTCAAGCGTCATGACCACGAACAGGGTTAGGAGTTTGCGCCCTTAGTGTTTAATGTTTTCGAAGCTTCGTTTGAAGTTAAAATACTGAAAATGCAGCCAAAAACACATGTTTTCAAATTTCCGGAAAGAATGCCCTGTGAACCCTTGAAAGCCGCGTCTTTGCTCTCTGTAAATGTTTTTACATTGGTCTTGAGTTAACATCCAACCTGGAGAATTGCTATATTAAACTAAAGCTATTCCTTGAAAAGTTACATTACACAGCTTGAGACATTTCTAGTACCTTCTGTTTTCCATGCAGAAAGTTCATCCAAAAGCTCCTTTTTCTTATCGGGAAGCAGTGGCAGATATTGGAGCAGAGCCTCTAACTTGTCAAAGCACTGGTCAAAGAAGATTTGGGTCCAGTCGCTCTCTTTAAAATGACTTCCCCTATTCCTCACATTCTCTCTGACATCATCCGCCAAAGGCTGAATATCGTGCAAAGGATCGGAAGAAACGAATATTTGTATGGGATACTTCCTACATCCCAATAGTCTAAGAGCGGCACTCAAATCCATAGACTTGTCGAATGCCGAGAATACTGCCAGGTAGTCTGGGAGATAAAGCTTGGCAAGGTCAACTGAGCTGTTTACATTGTAGTTGTAGGTCTTTTTGTTCTTTCCATGAACACTAGAATTGTTGTTGATATTTCCAAAATTTAAGCCTTTAAGCGAAGAAGCAGGACTTGGCGTGGCTGCCAGATGGCATACCTCTGCATAGGTCAGTGTTTGTAGACTATAAGGTGTTGGTAAGCCATTAAGGTAATTATTTAGCAAAGCATACAGCTTGTCCATTCCTTGTTTCACGATATCCTGTAAAACTGGAGCTACGACCTTATTTGAGGTAACAAGAGTCACAAGCCATCTTTTGTCGTTACCGAGGACATCCATAGTAACAAAATTTTTTCTGCTCAAGGAACTCTGGATATGATCTGCAAAAGTATACATAATTTTAAAAAAAAAGCATATTAGTAACAAAGGTATCGTGGGTTTTAACTAAAGAAATGTAGGCAAAAAGTTTCCATCATTTGGAAACAAATAAAAATTTAGGGATAAGTCACTGCTTGAGGACAGTTACCAAATTGATTAAGTTATCGTTATTCTACAGTTTCAGCCCCACATTTAATAGCACAAAGAGGATTGAATCATGATTGCATCAAACTTTAAAGGCCAAGTTATTCATATCACACTCAGACTGCAAATCAGTAAAGGAGGGATTTTGGCCAATGTAGTGTAAATGACGTTAAACAAACGAGACAATTACAGGTTCACACATCTTAAGATCCATTGACTCCTATAACATCGTCACATGAAGCAAACGACTTAGTCAATTAATGGCAAATAGATATGGATCTATTAAATATTTTATTGTATGGAAATTCTTCTGTTGCCTGATAGCGCGGTTATTGTATGACCAAGTGATCCAGCTTCACAATGACTTTAATTTTTTTCAACATGAAACACACACACACAACACTGCTTTTTAGCGTAGTGAAAAAATTATTAGAATATGACAAAAACAAAACAAAACCAAAAACAGTTTATGTCAAAGTTGTCACGGTATGGCGTGAGGAGCTTGAGTGAAACAAAGCCCTCTGATCGCACAAGGAAATGGCCCATAACTTTGCTTGGGGGGAAAGTTGGCTTTTACTTCATCAAGGTTTCCCACTCTTATTATCATTTAACCTCTTGGTGCTCGTTTCATTCACATTTTTTGCCTTTGTGACGGGTAGGAGTGTATGTTTGAGCCACCGAGGACTTCTTCTTGTTATGGCCGGAAACGCTCCAAAATTTGTGTACCTTTTCCGGAGTCTCGAAACTACCGATTCGAGCAAATACAGTAGTACGACACCATACTGTGTGAGAGTAGATCGGCAACAATTCCTCGTTTTAACATTGAGTATTGAACAGTATTGAGTATTCTGACGCTTTGAAGACCTTTGATTGCTGCCTTGTTTACTCGAGTGATATGAAGTAAAATAGCGTGATTGTCTAATCCATTTCACGCTTGAAGGCACATGTCGTGAGCACATCATGATTTCAATCATGCAAATAAGCCACATTTAACATACATTGCAGCAACTAGGCACAAACAAATAAGAGGTTCCTGGAGGTTTTAAAATAAAAATAATTTTAATACCGTTGCATTCTCAGTGGCTGACATTGAAATTTTACGTTCAATTCTCTCTAAAAGTACAAAGCTTAACGAAATGGATTTGTACAAACCCTCCTGCTTTCCAAATCTGTCAGGTACCAACTCCTATAGCTTATTCGTTGTAAAATCAACCAACACACTGAAATTTTTACAAATGAGCGCCGCCTTAAAAGGCGGCGCTCATTTGTAACGATGAAGTTTCGCGTAGCTAGAATGCACAGCAAGTTTCAAATCGAATGAGTTAAAACTATTAACAAATCTTCAATCCTCTATGCTTTTTGTTACTGATACCACGAAAGCGCATAATTTCTTTTCCAAACAAACAACTCTTGGATCTTACTTTTGTCTTCACCTATAGCTAATTACTCGATTAGAACGATCCACGAAGCCATAAGAAGCCATAAGAAGCGTACTCTGCCGCTCATCTCAAATCGCGTGTCTCGTAATTTGAAGACTGCGAGCAAGCAATTGCCATGTCTGCTTATTAAATTCATTTTCTCCCCATCTTACCGTAAATTGAGGCCTCTACGTGTTTTCTTGCACCTCTTGACAGATATTCACTCCTACTATGCCAAGAAGACGATAATGTCTTAGAAATTATTCTTGACCCAAGTAGAGCGTGTTTAACTGAATAACCCAAAGTCTAAATCGTGCTTTTTTGTTTGCGCCTATTTAGCGTCAGTTGTTGTCATGGTTTCAAGGGTGACTCTTGAATGAATAATGGTGATAAGTAATTAGGAAATGCGCCTTAGGCGAGTGGCAGTGTTAGAATTTTTCCGTCTGAGTACAAGAGTACGTCAGATAGTCACTGTCCGGCCAAGACCCAAAAATGACCCAGGCAGGGCTGAAACCCAGGCTTCTTGATCAAAAGTCCAGCGCACTGCTCATTTGGCCGCTGAATTCCTCTTCCTAGTTATTATAGTTTGATACCTTATTAAGGAAATACGTACTGTGTAGCAAATTTGACATATCACGCTTGGAAATTATTGCTCGAAATTCGCCGGTAACAAAACGAAAAAGGGCCTGGGACCGAATGTCGATCGCAAAGCATGCATGGATTGATTGGCTGGACAGGAAGACATGTTGACATACATGTGTTGTAATTTATCCTGTTCAAAAGAGACTAATTGAAAGCTGTTTTGAAGGAAAATGCCACATCATTTTAACTGTTGTGTGCCCCAGTGTACCAACAACTTTAGAAACAAACCAAATCTGGAATATTACAGGATTCCCAAGTGCGAAAAGGCTCGGAAATACTACAAAGTATCGCTTTGATTGGTTGATTGGGCCAACCACCCGATTCGCTCGTAATTAACCGCTTACATGCAATATTTTCAATAAAAGAAGCCCTTAAGCATAGCAAGTCAGAATTTGAGCGAAGAATTTCGAATGGGCATAAATGGAGGGATCTAGATATCACATTCAACCGGCTAAACAAGGTTGCTGAATTAGCTGTGAAAGGAAACTTTGGAGCAATTCGAGAGCGACCTAAATATAAACTTGGCGAACTGTATCCAATGCTACAGCGTTGCATGATTCGGGCGAAATGTGCCATTGATCGCCGGCTATCACCAAGGATGAGTAAAGTGCACCCGTGGATGGTCATTTTTGATCTCCCTATGGCACAGGAGGTTTTTAACATTTTACATAAGGACGTTCTTGGTCTAACAAGGTATGGTTTAGAGGTAGAAGAGAAGCCAGGTTCTGTAACAATTACTTTTTTCAGTCTGAGAAGACTATGTCATTTGTTTGACAAAGTTATGGACTGTGGTGGATTTATCAAACAGCTTGGCAAAGGAAAGGGACAAGTCAAGCTCATTGTCAGCCAAGAAAAAAAAGAAGTGATGATCTACAATGCAAAAGCAGAGTGTTTGCAAGCAAAATTTTACTATGCCTATTGGAATTCGTTTGGTATCAGCCAACACTAAATACAGAAATCACCAGTTTATTTTGGAAACCGACATTGCTTAACTGTTGTGTTAAATGGTGTGAGCTACACAAAGAAAAGACACCAGTAAAACAAGGAAATAGTAAAACACTATCAAATAGCAGTATTCATTCTGGATGTTATAATGCCTCCACATGATCATATAAGCTTAAATAAAGCAAACCACTACTATAAGCGCTGAAACTTATAAACTTATTATGGTTACGAGAAGTATGTAGACAGAGAAAACTTCTCATATATTATGACATAAAGTTACAGTTGATAATTTTAAAAGCAAGCAGAGGTATAAATTTAGCCAAGAGCAGACTTAAAAGGCCTCTCAAAATGCACAATCAGGATTAACTCATGACAATTTCACACTTTAGGCCCTCCTTAGTAGGGGCATTCCCCTCTTTGCTGACTTTGTTTTTTCAGCCATGTATTATACAGATTATATAATTATACATAGTTCAATTTGAATTTTTACATTAACTTCTAAATGTTTTTCCTCCAGGTGATTGAATTAAATGAGGAAGAACTTCTATAATTTTAATCAATGAAATTGAACCTTATGGTTATGAGCAGTATGTAAACAGAGAAAACTTTGGGTTCAATATAATCAGTTACAGTTAAATATAAACTTACATTTACCTCAACTCCTTATTCATGAAAATGTTACAAGGCATGAAAAATAAAACAGTTGTTTTATAAGTCCTTAAACAGCTGGGGTTCATTGTGAGTCAAAGCACAGTTACACTTAGAATGCTTCTAAAAATATCACTCAATGTTTTGAGGATTAACTCAACTGATGGAGTACCTGTTTTAGTGCTCTTCCCTGTGTGCCTCATGACAAGTGCAGACCTCCCTTGCATGTACTTTACCTTTCCAATGACCCCTCCAGCATAGAGCAATGATAATGACCGGATAAAATTTTCATTACTTTTCTCGTATTCTTGTGCTTCCTTCTTTATTTCCATCAGAGTGGCCTTTTTCAATTTTTTAGATGAGGAGAGATACTTGGCAACATCAGTTACTTTGCTATACTTAAGGACAGTGGAGACCATGCCCTCTAGAGCAGGAGCCCTGTCCTCCATACTCCCTCCATTGATCTCTGTTGCAGCAATTAAGGTTTCCAATTGCCTCCGTTGGGCACTTCGTCGAGGTAAGTTCAGTTTACCACCATCAGAAAGTTCAGAGGGATTCTTTTTGCGCGCAGTGGAGGTGTTTTTTGAAATTACAAATGCACTTGAACGTGGTGTTATCTCGAGCTGATTCATGCATTCTTGTACTTTCTCACTCTTTTCTTGAAGACGCTTATTTCTCTTTTTTAATGCCGACAACTTCTTACTTTTTGATAAATATTCATCACGGAGGTTACATTTTTCCCTTGCCAACTCACCGAGTGGAAATCGGCTTCTCGCAGAACATTTAGGAGACCTCCAAAGAGGTTTCTTCTTGGTTCCCATACAAGCTCAAACTTGAGCCCAAAATTCAATGGCCTACGATCAAATGCAAAGATTTTTACTAATTTTTCAAACAAAAATTCACCCTCTGAAGCTCACAATATTAACCATTTTTTCCACAAAAACGAAAGACAAATACCTTTTCTAGGGAAGTATGGTTTTACATTTTCAAAATTGGGTGGCAATAAACTCAAATATATCACTTTCAAAAGTCCACTAGAACCAGAAATTTCTGAACTTATAGATGGTGTCGAAGTGCTTTTTCACAACCGCCGTATTTTTCGAAAACTGAACGCTATATGGTAAACAAGGTATCAAAAGAAAGCTTTTCCCTCGAGGATTTCGGATTTTGCGGCTAGAAATTGTGTACTCGTACCATTCCCCCCACAAAGGGGGGGAAGCCTGGCGAATTTTTGCTCTTCGCGCGCGAGGAAAATGGCCGCGCCAAATTTTGAACAAGAGGACTGGGGAAAGCGGGACATTTACTTGGCCCAATTTTAGGCAATAATTTCCAAGCGTGTATTATTAAAGCAAGGTAAGAGTAAAAAAAAGAACATGAAAAAAATAAAATTTACTAAGCCGCCACGCCGCTGCAAATCTGACTGTCAGTCAGTTCCAAATAGGCTTCTCCTTCCTTGAAGGACTTCACCCCTCGCTCGAATTAGGAAACCCTTGAAATAATTCAGCACCCTCTCCCCTCCCCCCCCCTTTCTTAATGATAATTGGACGGCGTGGAGGGCTATAGGGTCTGATATCGTCGTCACGTTTCCAAAATCAATCAGACGCGCAAGTTTGATTTTAGAGAAAAATGACACAACATGAGGTCTAATTACACTACTTTATTTCATCTATTTTGAAAGCGCAAAATTAATTACCCAGATACAGCATTAAAGTCAACACAAATATTCTATTGATCCAGCACTGTGCACAATTTTAACAAATATGGCTTCCTTGCCTCTCAGTTTCCTTTAGTTTGATCAGTTACTTTTTCATATCGCCCCAGCTAGAATTTTTTAGCTAGATATAACCTTAATTCTCGTACTCGGTAACCGTTGTAAGAATATTGTCCATGCTTGTTTGGGAGTTGAGTGAGGGTGTTTATAGTGTAGTAAATGCTGCAGTAAAGAGCACAAGGATTAAAATTGAATACCAGGCGGAAAGAGGCGGTTCAGTCTTCTTAGATAAAACAGAAAGTATATCTTTTCTGAGCTGTCACTTTAGAAACTTTGACGTCAAAAAGTGGTAGTCCAGTTTATCCTTTCCGTAAAGTGTGAAAATATTTAGCCTCTTTCGTCTCACAAGAACTGAGAAGATTTGAAGTGGCTTATTCAAATTTTTTTAAGAAAATAATCTTTTGTTAGAATCCTCATTTGCCACGTTACAAATACCCTTAGGTAAAATCTAAATCGATTGATGTGTCATTGCATATATTTACGTTGAAATATTTTGCACAAAAGACAAGTGCAAAACCACAAGCATTTCATTTAGCCGCTCATTTGCTGCGGTTCTGTTTTAAACGATGTTTTGTTAAAAATGTCACAACATGAGGCAAATCATAAATTTCCATTCACCGGTCAAAGTTAAAAAAAAAAACCGTCAACGCAGCAACGCAGAACTAGAAGTACTTGTGCCATATCCACTGAATTCGAACTTTCTTGGTGCTTAAATGCGCTCAAATTCACAAGCTTTTCCGAAATTGTGTGATGGCACTGACTGTTCGTAAAACAAAAACTATGTATTGAAAAAATCTACGTTTCCAGTATGCGGGATTAGTTGACAACATTTTCCTCAATGAACCTTAAACCACGTTCTGCCTCTTTTAGCGCATTTTAAAATCGACTGACTTTGAGTCGATTAAATGTCTGAGCCCTTTAAGGGTGAGCTTCTCTTGGATTTGAGAAATTCCTCGATGCTTCTTCGTTCATGCGAGCCACGTCAGCTGCATTTTTTCCGATCCACTTTCAAATTGACATCAGCGTTGAGTTCAACTAGCTTTTTTACAACTTGAATGGATCCATACATCGCTGCTAAATGCAGTGGAGTGTAACCCTCTCCATCGCGGGCATTTAGGTCGGCATAAAAATAAAAACTGTACCGATTTATTGTGCAATTGACAATCTTCGTTTCCACCAAATTTTAAGTGAGAAATAAATATCATAGTGACATATCATTTGATTATGCAATATCATAGTATTTAGTGTTGCGTGCAATGAAATCTTTATTAGACTGATGGGAAATGCTATGAATACATGGACACTCTGTGTCACTCAACAAAATAAGTTATGACAATAAATACTGGAGGAAAATTTAGTAACAAATAAATCCTAATATCAAACTTTGTAAGGCGAACTCTCGATCTCGTACACACAGCACCCTGTTGGGAGGGGCGAACAGCCATTAGAAGCGAAAAGCCTACTACTTACTAGTGCAAAGGATATCTCTCATAATGTAAACAAGAAGGCAAAAGTATCGCAAGTAAAAAGCGATTTAATTTCAAGAGAGAAACACCAGGGTCTTGTCAAACTAAATTTCGCAAATAATTCGTTGAGAAAAGTTGTACGAACTATATAGGACCTATCTACAATAAATAAGCGAAAGGATTTACTATTTCAGAAGATACTACCACACCGGAATTGGTCTTTATACGATCTCCAGTATGCAAACAATACAAAATTGATATGGATAGAATAAATTATTACTTGAATAAATTGTGCATCGAAAATTTATCCTTGTTTTCATCCTTGCGCCTTTAACAATTCAGTATAAATTGTGACTGCTCAGAAACGAAATCCTTTCCACTTCCCGTTTCACCTAAGAAGATTTAATTATTTCTTCTCGCCCAATATTTAATACAAAACCCTTTTGTCATTACTAAAATAGAACTTAATACACTATGCTATAATCACTCTCACGCAACTTCAAAATAATCACGAACCATATCACTTGAAGGATTGGGGCGAGGAGACGGCTGACAATTCAGACTAAGTGAAAAAGGGGAAAAGGGACTGAGTGGGTCTCTACAACTGAGCTTGGTCGACCCCGCTGACTATTCAGAGACAACCAAAAAAACCATCATGCTTATTTTCAAGTTTAGCTCGAACTGAAAGCAAAATAGAAGTTTTTTTTTACATCATTGCTGACTAAATACTAGTCATTAATATTTAGTACAGCAGGTAAAAATAATTGTGAGAGATAAGCTGGAACTTCAATGTTAGAGATCTTCATGTCCTTTCAAGCTGTGTTTAATACAAGCTAGGTCACTGAGTTATGTTCTTGAACATGACACTCCTCTAACATGTTCTCTCTCTTGTACCCAGGAGTAAAAATATGTACTAGGTGCTCTATGCATTTTAAGCCTCTAACATTAGTACTGTTTGAATGATCATCTAACATTCTGTGCCTTCTTAACCCTCTCACTCCCAGATCTTATTAGAAATTCTCCTTGCTGTTTGCTATACAATTCTCAGGATGTTACTTTAGAAATTTGGTATTGGATCAAAAAATAATCCTTTAAATGATACTTTTTTCTTTATTCTCATGACTTGTCTGCTTGATACTGTGTCGATATTGTAAGGAGAAATTCTGTGTTGGTCACTTATGGGACTTAAGGGGTGGATAGTCTAATTGTGGCATATCTAGCAAAAGATTTTACCAAGCAATTCATGAAAGTGTCTGCAGATAGTACGAACCACTCTTCTTAGGGTGTTGCCACAAAGAGCATTAAAGCAGTAGATTAATGTAATAAGAGCCATAACAAACAAAGAAACAGCAAAACAAAGATGGTCGGAACATAACCCAGCTCCAAAAGCAGCCATATGCCTCTCACTCTCAGAGTAACAAAAGGCTTTGAAAAAAAAGAAAAAGGAAGTCTCGCAGGTAAGGATATGAGTGTATTTAGCAAAAGCAGCACTGTTGCAATGAAATATGTATAAAGATAGTGCACAAGTTATGATGGCCATGATCATGCAGGTGCTAATCTGCATAAAAAAGCAAAAAAGAAAAAAAATCAAGGTTACTCTAATTAAAGGAACTCAATGCTAAACTTTTGTTGTCAAGATAATAATAAAATATAAATAAATTAAAATGATAATAATAATAATTATCATAATGATGATGATAAAAATAATAATAATCATCATCATCAATAACAATAAACAGTTATTAGGTAGTATTTCACAAGTCTCAGTGCATTTATAAATTAAGCAATTATGAATTCAAACAAATTGGAAATAAACATTTTGATAGTAATTATTGGTGAACACAAACATAGCACTGGTTATTTACAGCAAGTCTAAACCAAACCGCAGTTTTACCCAATAAGTGGGCCTCAGGCTCTCTCCTTAAGAGGGTCGGGTTAATTAAATAAATGTCCTTCCCCTGTTTGCTTTCTGCCCTCTTGCCACTGTTCACAAATATAAATATTCAAATACAAGGTCCATGCAGCTTATAGTAGTTAAGAACCCCAACTGGCAGGAGGCAGACTAGTTGGCTATAAATTGTACAAAGTGCAGCCAAGGAGCCACAAGAAACCTGATTACAAATCTAGTATGTAACAAGGCAAAGGACTTAAAACCCAGGATCACACACAAGATTACAAGACTAGGGCCCTAACCACTCAGCCGCTCCCACCTCCCAGTATGTTCTGCTATTTGATTTCTCTAAAAATTATCCTAATTTTTTTTTTTTTAGTCACAGTCTGTAAACTCGTTAAAGATGGTTTTATGTTCTGCTAGATGAGTGCATTGCTTCATCAATATAAACCACTAGCGTTATCAAACACTCTAGATTTACATGCACGTGGGTGTACACAGCTTTAAACTCACCAAACTTCTATTAGCAGTTGAATCATCCTTGGCACCAATGACACGACCTTGTAAAAAAGGATGAAAATATAACTATACTGATAAATAACAGATTGATCATTTCCCCATGGCATAAATAACACCAAAAGAGCGATCATTTCATAGAGACGAGTTGTGCGTAAATAATATGCCGCAATATTAGCAATAACGATCGATGTTTTGCGGTAGCCATTTGTATTTTTCACAAACGATCGGTGGCAACACTGACGATTGAAAATGTTACAATTTCTGTATTTTGCAAAGATTGACACTAAAACACATTATTGATATTTAGCGCGATCGATCTGCCTCAGAACACGAGCGATTTATAATTAGCGCTTTTAATTTACAGGGACTTTTTGTAATTCCTATTCTGTGATAAAGGTGGGTTGTTTCAGGGTTTTCAATGGGATCTCTGGAAATTTCCCATTCTGGGAAATTCCCTGCCTTGAAAGGGACTCAAAATTCCCAGAGATTACCCTTAAAAGGGGTTTTTATGTCCCAGCAAATTCCATAACATGGGGTTTACCTGTCCCAGTGATATCCCTGTCATGGGGTTTTCATGTCCCAGTGATATCCATGTCAAGGGATTTTCATGCCTCAGTGATATCCCTGCCATGGGGCTTTCGTGTCTCAGTGATATCCCTGCCATGGGGCTTTCATGTCCCAGTGATATCCTTGCCATGAGGTTTTCATGTCCTCGTGATATCCCTGCCATGAGGCTTTCATGTCTCAGTGATAACCTTGCCATGGGATTCTCATGTCCCGGTGATATGCTATGAGGTTTTCATGTCCCAGTGATATCCCTGCCATGGGGCTTTCGTGTCTCAGTGATATCCCTGCCTTGGGGCTTTCATGTCCCAGTGATATCCTTGCCATGGGGATTTCATGTCTCAGTGATATCCCTGCCAGGGGGTTTTTATGTCTCAGTAATTTCCTTGCCATTGGGTTTTTACGTCTTAGAGATTTCCCAAATATGGGGTTTTATATCCCAGCAATTTCCCTGACGTGAGGTTCTTAAGTCCCGGTAATTCCCTTGATATGAAATGTTTTAGTCCCACTGATTTCCCCCAATATGAGAGTTTATTGTCCCCTTCATCTTTTGGGTTTTTTAGTGCCAGATTTCCCTGACCAATGGTTTATTTGAGTTTATAAGAGATGTTTCCCTCTCATGGGATTATTTGAAGTCCTAGGAGTTTCCTTCTAAGAAGGGCTGATGTTCAAAAACACTATTATTTTCTTACCCATTAACTGAGTTACCTCAGAACTGTAGTTAGTAGTAAAGACACTACAGAGTCAGAATTTATCCAACAATAGTTTACTATAATGAACTCAGCGAAAAAAACCAAAAACAAAAAACAAAGGAAAAGAATGTTACCAACCAAACTTATCTTGTAGCAAGTCGTATTTTAACGTCTTAACACCTTACCAAAGACCACTTTGAAAATCAATAGATTTCTTTAAAAGTTTGATTCAAACTTTGAATCAAACTTAAACATGACGAGCTTTGTCAAGAAAAAAATTCTCGCCAGGGAAGTGTAAAATGATCTATAGGCTTGTCAACGTAAAACGAGAGGACTCAATTAGCTAGTGAATGAGAGGTGTTTGGCTTTGACCGTGAAATTAATTAGAATTGAAAATTAAAAGGTAAAGAGGCGCGAGGATCCGCGTGGCTTGCACGTTAGCGAGTGCTTCGTAAATTTTAGAAACTTTCGCACAATTTTCGCATTGGTAATAACTACGCATCACAGTATGAATGACAATTTTCTCAATTTCAGAATGTTTAAGCGATAGGAACGGCTTCGCTAAACCCAAACATGTCAGGACCTTGTTTTCGAAAGAGATTTCGACTGCGTTATATTCTTGAGATACAAGAGTATCATTGGACACTTGAAACGATTGGGTAGATATTCTGATAGTACATTTCTGGCGTGAGGAGCTCTTTAATTATAAAATATCATTTATAAACATCAGGTAAGCGCGGGAACTTAAGTCCGCGAAATTTCTATGCGAACAGACATGGTTTGATGCTACTCTGGTTTACAGATTTAATGAATGTAAGCGAAGAAGTTACAATTTATAGACCCAACGTTTCGACACTCCTGTCCAGTGCCTTCATCAGGGGTGATCTAAACGCTGTAACAAGAGGTCCTTATATGTGATCACTAATTAGCGGCCTTTTTTTCTAACGAGGTGTAAATAGGCGTCAGGAAGCAAACCGCCATCGTCACGATTTAAAGGAGCGTGGGCGGAGTTTATATGCCAAGCCTCCAAACAAAGGCGCTGGTGGTAACGCCGATTAGTGCCTGTCTACCATCTTCACTCGATTCGAAGGCTGAGGAGAGGAAATATGTTTCTAATGTCCTAAAGGCAAATGGCTATACAAAAACCTTTCTCCGTAACTGCCAAAAACCAGTTACAACTAGCAACAGTCTTGATGAGTGTATTCGGCGGTATCTGCGAAAAGGGGTTATCGTTTTTTCTCTAAGGGAAGGTCTTAACTGTGTATTACTTCGCGAGAAAGAAATTCTACTTGCTGGCCTGACCAATTTGACGATAAGGTAAAGTTGTATGCCTGACGATTTCTGTCTTGAGCTATATGATGACCCGCGATAAATCTCGCTGCTCAATAACGTGAGCCGAAAATGATGATGTCTGCACCGTTTTATCAGCAAAGAAAAGTCTACCTTGGTTCTGTGCCTTCAAAGCGAAAACAGGACTGGTAGTTAGATGGTAGATGCTTAAAATCACTAGGTGTATTATCCAACTGTTGGAATCCAACATGAGTAAGATGAACTAATTATGGAATAAATCCTGACATTACACCTCAAACATTCATTCCCTGTAGGATGACGGGCTCTTGGCAGGTTTGTGCGTTTTCTAACTAATTTATTGTAATGTTTCACAGTTTCAAAAGCAGAATCCTAAACATGCTCTCGTTCTTTTGTTATTTCTTAGCCATGCTCACATAGTAAGTGCACGTTCCGCTGACCAACTTTCTGATTTGAGCCCAAAGGTATTATTGAATTGTGTAGTTTTTTCGTAAAGAGGAACTGTTGAAGGTAGTAGGGAATGTCGTTTCGACAAACTTTCTAGAACTCTTCGTCAGAGTATAATTGACCTCTTGCTTTGTTTCTTTCGGGTGATTTCAAACTATTCTCAATCATAATTTATATCCTCGTGTTACATCGTAACCAATACAACACGACACGAGCCCAGGCCTGGCAAACCCGACTCCAGTAAATAAATTATGTTTTTGTTTAATGTCTGGGCCTTTGACTGGGAACTATCTGTTATCAGATTATATTACCTTTTCCCTCATTTGGCGGGTTTCTTTGGAAGTGGCGTCCGTAGACAAGACGCTTGATTCTGTAGAGTGAACACTCTTGCTACCTTCTTGATTTAGAGCAATGGCGCTGAAGCATGCATTATTTAACAAATGCAACCGTGTTAATGAAAAAAATATGTGGTTCTTGAAATAATCGAAGTATGGTTGGTAACTTTCTATACTTGTCTTGTTTTGTTCGCAGTTAAAGGCACAATATAAATATTATGTCAGACACCTCTTAAATTACAGAGCAATTAGGACTCTTAATAAAGTACGTGTCGAAAACACTGGCGTGTCCAATAAGCAAAACTGCACACCTTTGCAATAAAACAATAACAACTTATCTAACTGTATCTAACAACGTGGTCCCCGATTCGCTCGCGAGTGTTGATGGGAAATTTACGCGCTTCTGTGGGTGAAATTGTTAGCCACCAGAAGAGTCTTTCCTTACAACATAATTCTTCACTGGAATTTTGCAAATTGCAACTAGTCGTTGTTTTCAAACTTACCGTCTAGCTTGTGATCAACTTTTCGAAGTAAGGATTTCACTCTATAAAATCTATCTATCATTCTGGTGTGAAAGGAAGACAGCTCTTCTGTCACTCTTTCGTTCTCCTCCCTAGTTGGCATGTCGTCCAATTTGTCATTAATTGAAGCGAGTTTGACGTTTTGGAATTTTTCCAGTAGATCTTTGACGTCATTGTCAACTATCTGCTTGAAACCTAAAAATGATGACTGTACAATAAATGATGGTAATAATGATAACAGTAGCATAATAATAATGATAACAATGTCAACTCTGATGTCGACGATGATGAGATGAGATTAAGCTAAGAAACTGGTAAGAGGAAATGATATGTTGTCACTTTAGATACGGCGTTTTAGTAATGAATAAGTAAGTTTCTACTTTATATTACTGAAGCGGGCTCCTCTGAGCATGTTGTTCCGCTTACTTGATTGCAACGACCAGGTTGGCACAGGGGAAACCCCTGAAGCTGAGACTCGCGTGAGTTGCCGAGGGAATGAAAACATCATGGTAATCGCAGGCGGTCTAATTTGATTCGACGAGATTAATAGATAATAAACGATCACATAGATATTCAAAGGGCCATGAATGGAAGCCAGGAATATGCCCTGCCACATATTATATAGTGAGCTTAATCTCTGTCAATAGAGAGTAGTCAAGCGTCGTGAGCACGAACGGGGTCTGGAGTTTGCGCTGAGTTTGGCTCCTAAGCGGTTATGTTTTCGAAACTTCGTTTAGATGTAGCAAAAACAACATGTTTTCAAATTTCCAGGAAGAATACCCTGTGACCCCTGGAAAGCCACGTCTCTGCTCTCTTTCAGCGTACTTACATTGGTCTTGGGTCTACATCAGACCTAGAGAACTGCTACATTAACAAGCTATTCGTTGAACAGTTACATTAGACTACTTGAGACATTTCTAGTACCTTCTGTTTTCCATGCGGAAAGTTGATCCAAAAGCTCCTTTTTTTTGATGGGAAGCAAGGGCAGGTTTTCGAGCAGAACCTTTAACTTGTCAAAGCACTGGTCAAAGAAGATTTGGGTCCAGTCGCTCTCTTTAAAATGACTTCCCCGATTCCTAACATTCTCTCTGACATCATCTGCCAACGACTGAATATCGTGCGAAGGATCGGAAGAAACGAATATTTGTATGGGATACTTGTTGCATCCCAATAGTCTAAGAGCGGCACTCAAATCCATAGATTTGTCGAATGCCGAGAATTCTGCCAGGTAGTCTGGGAGATAAAGCTTGGCAAGATCAACTGAGCTGTTTACATTGTAGTTGTAGATCTTTTTGTTCTTTCCATGAACACCAGAATTGTTGTTAATATTTCCGAAATTTAGGTCTTTAAGCGAAGAAGCAGGACTTGGAGTGGCTGCCAGATGGCATACATTAGCATAGGTCAGTGTTTGTAGACTGAAAGGTGTCACTAAGCCATTCAGGTGATTATCTAGGAAAGCATACAGCTTGTCCATTCCTTGTTTCACGATATCCTGTAAAACTGGAACTACGACCTTATTTGAAGCGAAAAGAGTCACAAGCCATCTTTTGTCGTTGCTGAGGACAGCCATAATGATACGTTTCACTGCCTAATGAACTGAACGCATGGAAGGATCTGCAATCATCAAAATAACTGCAAATTATTTTATACATACTAGTAGCTATTGAAAACTGTAATCCTTAATAATGAAGACCAAAAGGGGAGTTCTTTGAATTAGGAAATGAAATAAGTCAGAACTTGACGCTACTCACAGCGTGATAGGAAATTCTTTAGGAGCAACTGATTTAAGCAACTAGTGAAACGCCGGACTGACGAAGAGACAGATTCAGCAACTAAAAACATACACACTACGAGGTTCCTGAACGTTCCAACGTTTTTTTGTCTAATACATTCCTCTTACGTTAAAGAATCCTAAATGAGCAATTTAATGAAATATTGCGCAAAACCAAATTTTCTACAATTTTTTTTGACGCTCAATCGACGGCCATTTTGAAAACGTTCTGATTTTAGGTCACGTGATGTGATACGTCACACGTGTGTAAGGCAGTGAAAAGAGTCATGTAAGACCTGAAAGTAACAACTTCACCCTCGCTGTCCGGCTGCTGCCGAAATTTACGAGTGGAAAGAATAAAGAGATTTGTTCCATTCTGTTATAAGCCACCATTTAGAGACTATGAAATAAAATAATGAAGGTTGAATAATCGAAACGCGAGGGATCGCGTGTCTGTATTCAGAGCCACAGATAAATTGCACGCCATTCCAAATAGCCGTAAAAAAATATATAATCCTATAATTTTTTCCTGTTAACCATTTTCGAGTCCTATGCTCGTAGAATTATCTTTTAGTACAAGCGGAAAAGTATTTGGCTTTAGATTTCATCCAGTGTATATCACTGTGACCTCAGGCCCATCGGTTCTGGAGTAAGCGCGACTAAGCGCAAAGTGTTGTCACGTATTATAGGAGGTTGTCATCTGGTCTCGTGAACGAAACTCTTCTTCCACGTTCCGGAAATCTACAAATTTATCCTTTTTTAAATTTTTTTTTACGGAGACTAGTGAGCAGCGCAAAGGAAGACTCCTTGCTGTTGTAACTTTTCGTTTATTTCTTTCGACGCTAGCGGAGAGTTCTTCAGGGATGATGACAACAAACATTCAGCAGCATATATAGCACATCTGTGTGCCTAAGTTAAATTAACTTCCAGTGGAAGTCAATAATAAAAAAACGTGCTGTAAACGGATGTTGCAAGAAACGCCTTGTTATGAACGACACACTCAAGCGTTGTTTCGCATTTGCGACCGGAAACATTATAAAATCAATTTTGTCCGAAAGGATACTCGTTTCAAAAATGTGTTATTGTCAGCTGAGTGAACAGTAAATTACTTTCGCTCGTTTATCGTAAATAAAACAAGCCGAATTGACTTTTATAATATGGACGGAAAACAACAGGATGTAAAACGAAAAAAACGGAAACCAGGGAAGCGCTGTTTAGTGATGTTTTGTAACAAAACAAATGCAGACGGAGTCAGTCTTCACCAGTTTCCAGCTGATGAAAGTTTGGGGCGACAATGGATTGCATTTGTGCGAACAACAAGAGAACCTAATAGTTGGACACCAAGTTCGGGTCACATCGACCATTTCTCAGCTGACGACTACGAAGGATTCGGTGCAAAAGTAGCTGGATTTAGCTCTAAGCGGCTAGTATTAAAGAAGTCCGCAGTTCCTTCTATTCAAGCGTCTCCTACTCCTGAGCAAATTAACGAACCTCGAAGAATAAAAAGAAAACTCTCACTGTCTAACGAAAAATTGAGGGTAGAAGACTCGAGCTCCGTGATCACACAGGAGACTTACACTACACCAAAAAAAACAAAGCCGGGGCCTATCAAAACTAACGGCAAACAGGGTATGAGAAAGATATTTCTCGCTTCTGCTTATCTTTGCTTTTGTAGACCTGGTGTTAGTTTATGTATGTAAATTTGTTGCTTTGGTCACTAAAGTAGAAATGTATTTTTGAAAAAAACAGTTGGTGGTCGAGTTTGATCGCATCAGTGAAGATAACGTATCAGTTGCTACATCGTCGACAAGCACTTGTGAAGCAGTCCTGGATGAACTACCAGACACAAGAAGTGCTGAAAATGAAGCTTCTCGTTCAGTTAAGGAACAAGTCGTAACGGCAAACAAGGGTACTTAGAAAGGCAACCGGCGTCCTCCTTGTCGAAGTAAAGGTATTTACCATTAACGTACCCTTTAGAATTAAACCAATGTTCAGAGGTAAATCGTAGAGTAACGTTTCCTATTTTTTGTTTTTTGTGTGTGTGTGTTTTTTTTAACCTAACAGGTATACAAGCTACTGCAAGGAAAGCAATTCTCATTGAAAATGGTATGCAGCGCAACATTGCCAACTTACCCCCACTATCTCTTCTACCAACTGAATGCGTTAGAGATACCAAAAGAAAAATTAACCCCATAATTCTTGAGAGTGCTGAGATGGAGCCATTTGAGGATGAAGAAGTTGATGACGAGGATTATACTTCTTCTATAGACCCGGAGGAAGATGAGAACGAGACCGACTAAGTAAAACCTCAACAGTGAGTAATAATCTCTACCTCGTTCCTGGCGTGTCAAGGTCGTTAAATATTTTGTAAAATGTGTTGTTCTTCAGAGAATTTGTTTCCTGACATTACATTGTGACTTTTTTTATCATAAAACTCAGATCTTGGACGAGTAAAAAGGAAAATGTGAAACCTTACGAGGAGAGGAAATTCATTGTGTTCGAGAAGAACTTGTTGAGCTTGTTCGCTTCCTGTCCAATACGTGCTGGTCCTGCAGAAGCGCATCCAATATCATCAAAGTTATCGACACTATGGTTAAAATCAACCAGTGTTGCGCTGACGAGAAGTCGTGTCAGTTCTCTCAAATGTGGTTCAGCCAGCCATTTGTTAAAGGTCAAATGCCTTAAGGTAACTTATAGTTGTCAGCCTCTATTTCAGGTTAGTGCCTTAATTCGTAGGAAATGTTGTTTCGCTTTAAGTTAAATTGAAAGTCAAGAATTCAAGGCCCTGCACCAGAGCGAAATGATTTGTCGGTATAGTAAGACTATGTCTGCTCAATTTGTGTACTTAATTTCAGCTATTATAAGAACAAGTCTCTGTAAGAATCAAACATCTTGGGGAATGAAAATTTTCAACCCCCCTTCAAATTTTGCATGCAGTTAGGTGCTCAAGGGGGATGCACAAAAATGCCCTTTTTAAAAGGTCGCAGCACTCTTGTTGCCATGGTAACCACGACTGTCTGTTCGAGGCTTGAGGCCGCATTTTCACACAAAAACGTCGTAAAAAAAGAGTGAAATGTTTATTTCTCTAACTCAAGTGGGCACTTCTATAATACATAGTAACATCATTCATCTTCACATTGATTCATTCAATTTTCCCTGGGAGTGAATGTGAACACACCAACAGATTATTTATCTCGGTAAAGTTTCGGTCATTTTTGTTGTCGGGTAAAACAGGGAAAACGTTTATCTGAATTTCTCCAAAAGTACACCGATTCTGGAACCGAAACTGCCCATCTAGCTGGTTATAATATTCTAGTTTTTAAATGTGCAAAAATCTCTGCGGGCCTGCCTCTACTTTTTATAGGGGCAATTCGCGAACGAAGCTCAAAAATCAGATATTGCATAATTTGGCGATGTTTCCATCTAATGTTCTCAACAAAAAATGTTTCAGAAAAATGAAACATGCAAGGCTTTGAATAATAATTGGCGATGTTTGCATCTAATATTCTCAACAACAAACGTTTCAGACAAATGAAACGTGCGAGGCTTTGAAAGAATGTTATCTTATGAACAACATCCCGATGAGAAATCTCACCTCTGGTTGTCATCTTTTAAAAAAAAATTGATCAACCTTCATGGAGGACTACTCGACGTAACTACAAACATGTACCTCTAATCGTGTCCATATCATCCAGATTCCGAGTGCTGCACCTTCTTTTATGGGAATTTGATCAATATGAAGTCCTCTGAAGATACACTGTTATACTTGTATGTCATTTAAAACATGTTGAAGTCGGCTGATCAACAAGAAACTATCCTCACATCGGTCATTTGTCATGAACATATTCGTTGTCACGATGGCGTGACGCTGTACGTATTTCTCCATGAAGTATCCATCGGTCGCCCCAAAGAAGACGAGAAATGGAAATTTTTTGATATATCAGCAGATTTCCGCGCATTCTAAGTAAAAACAACCCAAAAAAAGAAGAGCGCGATTGAACGCTCGTAAACACTAAGAATCTGAGAGCAGAAATCGCAACTTGTCAGCGGCAGTACTATATGTAAAACCCAGTCGCCACACTTGCAATTTGTACGACTTGCGCGAAAATCATCACAAAGTGGAGATTTTGAACTACTCAGAATCCCTGCAGTACAGCAAACGGAACAGGGATTTCATCACAATCAATTTCCAAAAATTTAGCTTTTTTCAGGGAGTCTTTCACGTGCTCGAACGTTATATTGGCTTTGAGCCTTGAGATTTATTTCCCTTGACAATAAAATGCTATAGAAAGTGCTTACAAATTACAAAGGAACTATTTTTAGTGTCGCTTGGACCAAGAAATACAGATTTGAAATAATTAATGCTGTCACTGATGAACCAAAGGGCACAATCTTCTCAGTTATTAGCTTGATAATCTCTACAGACCAACGTTATTGGACCGAACGATCTCCTTTTTCTTCCCGGTGAGCCGGCCACCTCGGGGGAAAATTAAAGAGACCTTTGACTTCCTCTCGTGTAAATCACTCGAAAATTGCGTTATATTCATCTTTCTTTAAGCTTATAAAAAAGATATCCGGGAGAAAAGTATGGAAAATAATGGTGATGAAATCGCTGTTCTTTTTCCTGAAGGACATGAAGCAACCAGATTGCATATTAATAATGGGGAGTTTCGTTCAAGTGATAAGTTGCAATTTACGTGTGGATAATAAGTTGTTTGAAAGGTGGAATCATGACATTATGATTTCATTAAATCTTTTATTTCGAACTTTGTTACGATTTTTTCTTTATCAAGACATGGAAGGAAACATTGATTAACTCGATTGCACTGCGGCAGTGATAAGTCTCTCCTCGTCATATCTTATGCAAATTTTCTGACAGTTTTCTGACAGTTTTCATTTGATTCGAAATATCTTAGTTTCTGTCACAAGGAAATGATAACTGCCCGAATCTGCTCTTTGTAAGGGCCTATTTACACGGTGCGACTTTGTCGCATGCGACAAGCTTACGACAGGCTTATGACACGAATTGTTTCGTGTAAATCAAACCTACAACTCGCTTACGACTCTTAAGTCATGTCGTAGGCCTGTCGTAAGCTTGTCGCATGCGACAAAGTCGTGCCGTGTAAATAGGCCTTAAGGAGATGCCTATGTCGTCCAAATTGCGATTGCAACTGAGTTTTACATGTAGTAGTGCCGCTGACAAGTTACGATTTATACTCTCAGTGTTTACGAGCGTTCAATCGAAGTTTTCCTTTTTTTTTTGGTTGTTTTTACTTCAGGAAGCGGAAATCTGCTAAAATATATGAAAAATATCCATTTCTCGTCTTCTTTGGAGCGACCGATGGAAATTTCACTGAGAAATACAGCATCGTGATAACGTACATGTTTATGACAAATGACCGGTGTGACTGCGGATAGTTTCGTGTAGATCCGCCGACTTCAACATGTTTCAAATGAAATACAAGTATAACAGTGTATCTTCAGAGGATTTCGGATTGCTCAATTTCTCATGAAAGAAGGTGCAGCACTCGGAATCTGGATGATATGCACACGATTTGAGGTATATGTTTGTAGTTACGTCGAGTTGTCCTCCATGAAGGTTGATCAATTTTCTTTAAAAGATGACAACCAGAGACGAGATTTCTCTTCGGGATATTGCTCATAAGATAACATTCTTTCAAAGCCTCGCACGTTTCATTTGTCTGAAACATTTGTTGTTGAGAATATTAGATGCAAACATCGCCAAATTATGCAATATCTGATTTTGAGCTGTTTTCGTGAATTGCCCCTATAAAAAGTAGAGGCAGGCCCGCAGATATTTTTACATATTCAAAAACTAGAATATTATAACCAGCAAGGTGATAAGTTTCAGTTCCAGAATCGGTGTACTTTTGGAGAAATTCAGATAAACGTTTTCCCTGTTTTACCCGACAACAAAAATGACCGAAACTGTACCGAGATAAATAATCTGTTGGTGTGTTCACATTCACTCTCAGGGAAAATTAAATGTATCAATGTGAAGATGAATGATGTTACTATGTATGGTAGAAGTGCCAATTTGTGATGTTGTATTTAGCTTGAGATAGAGAAATTAAAACATTTCACTCTTTTTTTGCGACGTTTTTGTATGAAAACGAGGCCTCAGGCCCCGAACAAGCAGCTGTTACCATTGCAACAACAAGCTGCGAAAATTTTTGGGCATTTTTGTGCATCCCCCCTGAGCACCTAACTGCATGCAAAATTTGAAGGGGGGTTGAAAAATTTCATTTCCCAAGATGTTTGATTCTTACAAAGACTTGTTCTTAAAATGCATTTGATTGCTTCCCAGGATCTAGTACTGCTAAAAGCTTAAGGATGCTGAAGTTAATGAATGTAGCAACCATTTCTGAATGTACCTTCTATCACCACACCAGCTCTTATCGTAATGCAGTTGTTATACAGCAGTGGAAAGAGCATCAGCAAGATCTGATTAATGAATTCCTTGAGAAAAACAATGAGTTAATACTGGCAGGTGATGGGTGCTGCTACTCCCCAGGGTACTCTGCCAAGTTTGGCTCCTTCACATTGATTGGAAAGAGGGTCAACAGAGTGGTAGATTTTCAGCTGGTTCAGGTTTGAAACTTTCCCATGTAATGGTTGAAAGCTTTAAAGCTATGGGTTAGCATTCCTGATTGCAAAGATGTTTATCACTATTTCTGCAATATTAGTAACAGTGAAAATTCTCTTTCTTCTGCAGAGTAATGAGGTTAGAAATAGTGCCTGGATGGAGCATGAAGGGTTGGTGAGGGCTGTAAAAGTAATTACAGTTCAGGACTGAGTATTGCTGAATCAATCACAGACAGGCACAAACAGAACACCGTCTGGATTAAACAAAATCTGCCAAATACAACCCATTACTTTGACATGTGGCATGTATCGAAAGGTACTTGTACCATGTGTTCTCATTAATTATGCATCTCAACAAAAACAGGATGTGGTCCCTTGCCAATAAGTTTTTGAAAGAGCTTGCAGTTAATTTATGGAATTTTAAAATATATTTCTTTGGCCTACCCAGGCTTGTGCAATAAGATCGACAAGCTTGCCAAGAAAAAGGACTATGACAAAACTGGTGAGTGATGCCAGTCCATTTCCAATCACATGTATTGGTGTGCAGCTTCGACACCTGATGGAAATGGCGAAGTCATACAAGAAATATGGAAAATACTACCATTACACATTCAAAACATTCATGTCAATGCAGAGAGTGACTTATATCCTGAATGTGGGCATGGCAACCTGCAAGGAGATGCAGCTGATCGGCTTTGGCTGCAACCAGGTATAGTAATTGCTATATATTACACCTGACAAAAACAATAAAACAACTTTTATTTTCATCATTTCTTGTATAAGGACAGAAATTAAAGTTGTGTACAACAGAAACTTACCAATGTAAAGATTTTTCGAAGGCCTAAGGGTACTTTTTTACTGTTCATAAGTCTATGTATTACATTCAATTGTAATTTGAAGCACTAAGTTTACAATTATATGATTTCATATCTCATAGGCTCATGCCCAGCTGTTAAACTGTAGGAGTTGTTACTGAAGCCTCAACTGCTGAAGGATGTAGCATAACTATCCCCAAAATACCAGACATCTAATCTGGAAGCCAAGCACAGCCTGGACATCCACTTTGTGCCAAAGCATACTGCCTTCTCTTATTGAGGGATGTATACTATGTTTAACTATTTCTCTTTGCTACTCTCACTCTGTTTGGTTCTTCACAAGTTTTGCAGATCACAAACATTGCCCTGAGATCTTCACTTATATCTAAATCATTTAACAGATTGTGCCTTTCTGCCCTGCATTAGAATGGACTTCTCGGACTAAGGTGGCGCTGGTTTGCAACAAAAAAGTGACGCGAAGCTGGAATTCAAAGCAGTTTCAAGTCGAGTAACTTGTTATGATACTATTGACAAGGCTTCGATCCAAACAGAATCGAAACTGAAATTGTTTTGGCGTCGCTAAGTTACCATGAATTTATTCTACATTTTCTTGTGGTCAATTGAACCTTCCTTCTTCAATGTCAGTTACCCACTGAATTCACTGAACCTCCATTTAAGTGTCTTTTGCTCGGTATTTTAAGACATCGAAGGTACGTGTTCAAAAGAGTGAGTCCTTCTGTAATTGATTTCAAGCATCATTACACGACAAAAGAATGGACTTCTCGGACTAAGGTGGCGTTGGTTTGCAACAAAAAAGTGACGCGAAGCTGGAATTCAAAGCAGTTTCAAGTCGAGTAACTTGTTATGATAATATTGACAAGGCTTCGATCCAAACAGAATCGAAACTGAAATTATTTTGGCGTCGCTAAGTTACCATGAATTTATTCTACATTTTCTTGTGGTCAATTGAACCTTCCTTCTTCAATGTCAGTTTACCCACTGAATTCACTGAACCTCCATTCTTAGTAAGTGTCTTTTGCTCGGTATTTTAAGACATCGAAGGTACATGTTCAAAAGAGTGAGTCCTTCTGTAATTGGTTTCAAGCATCATTACACGACAACACAGCCTTCCGCGCCAAACATTGATCTTTTGGATCAAGGTTTTGTCTTCATCGAGTAGTTTGCTAGCCTTCCGCACCAAACAGCCATCTTATGGATCAAGCTTTTGTCTTCACCAAGTAGCTTGATCAGAATGATCATAACATGCATACTCAGCCGCTTATCTCAAATTGAACTTCTCGTCTTCTGGATACTTCTCAAGCAATTTCTAAATCATTATTTCCTACTTCCTTTACTCGCCATAGCTTGGGTAAACTAAGTCCTCTTTGTCTTTTCTTTCGGCTCTTGAGAAATATTTATCAATACAGAATATTCAGAAAATAATGCTTTGCCTTAGACAGTAATTCTGAACCCAAATGGGGTGCATTCCGTATGAAAACCAAATGTAAATACGGGATAACTTAAACGAAAGTCTCCACGCACTCATTTTGTTCGACTGTCAGCTACGCATCGATTTAACACAGCTCAGGAAATGCTGTTAAACTTACCTTAGCATTCAAGTTAAAGTGAGAAATATCTTGATAATTTTGACGCCTCAAAGAAACCAGCGGAACGCCTGAACGAATAGCTACTGCTTGTTAATATACTCCAGTTCTTTCTTACCGAGATTTAAGAGTCGAAGTGGCGAGTGAAACATACGAGTTTGCGCAGTGAAACGATGGGACTCGCTATGTTTACTATGCAACCTATAATGGTCTACGTGTCTACGTGTCTACGATCTTTGTGTTTTTGATGCGTCCTCTTTGATAAGTGAGTTGCCTTGCTACATCATGTTATGCGAGGGACTAAACTTCTTTTCAAGGCTTAGGCACGCATTAAGAAACGTGATTAGGATCAAACTATAATCTGAAGAAGCTCTGATTAGTTGCAATAAGTTTCCTGAGATACTTCCGGTTTGAGAAAGTAAAATACAATTGCGTGACACTTGCGCCGGAGGAAATCATAACGTATTTCAGTTCGATCCCACAAATATCGTCTATCATTTTAACTTCACAATATAGATCTAAAGTGCATGCTCTTATTTAGTCTTAAAAGTGTCACGTGGACTGGTAATGAATTAGAGGCTGATGACGTTGAAACTAACTATGAAAACACTCAGTCGTCACCTACAAATCTCTCACATCTCTTGTAATTTTGTATCAGTTAGTGTTGAAATACACCTTTTAATATCAATACGCAAATAAATATGTTTTGATGAAACCTCTCTCTTTCATTTGCATTGCCCTTCTTTTCTCTAACATCTACTCGCTCATAAATTGTTCCGTTTATGGAGAATCTTGCCGTAATTACAGCTCTTTATCATTCAGACTCTTTCGCACCATTTGTTAGGTTTTAGAAAAAAATAAAAATGTTATACACCAGCCAAGGTCGGTCCGTATTGGGGAAAACTGTGCCCTCCGTCTTGTGTACCGCCTTCGGCCTACGGCCTCGGGTGGTATCCAAGACCTCGGGCACAGTTTTTCCCATTACGGACCTCTCGTCTGGTGAATTACATATATAAATTCCATGCTTGCAATTTCTTTTCTTTTGCTTTTTTTTCCTTCTTTTTGGCTTCATGGGTTATTTAAAAGCTACTTCAAATTAATGAAAAACTGTTCGAAAAAAATTATTTCTTTGAATCCCTGTTTGCTACATTGCGTTGTAAAATACCCGTTGAATCGATTGTTATATCATGAGTGAGGTTGAAATAAAACTTTCACATTTGTACAAAGCAAAAGCGAATAACCGCACGATTTTCACAAAGCCGATTATTTGCCACTTTTTCAATCAACTTTCCCTCAAAGAAAGTCAAAATAATTTCAAAAACCAAATTAACATTAACTGATCCAAAATATTAAATGAATTTTGGTTAACACGGCGATGGAAATAATGTTCAAAGTACTTTAAGCCTTGTCCTGCCCCTTTCATGGCAACTTTTAAAACCGATTGACTTCCCGCCGGTTGAATTTCCGCCGGTTGACTTTCCGCTCACTGACTTTCCGCCTATTGACTTTCCGCCAGTTGACTTAGCGCCGATTGCCTTTCCGAGTCTCTTTGGGGAAGGCTTCTTTTTGATTTAAGGTATTCCTCAATTTCTGTTTCTTCGTTCATGCGAGCCAAGTCAGCCGCATCCTTTCCATCCACTTTCAAGTTAACGTCGGCGTTGGTTTCAACCAGTTTTTTAACAACTTGAATGTCACCATACATCGCAGCCAAATGCAGTGGGGTAAAGCCGTCCATGTCGATCGCGTTTATATCTGCTTTGTATTTCACTAGTAGATCAACGATCTCGAGACTAGCACTTTTGCTGGCAACATGTAGAACTGTTCGACTTTGTGTGTCAGGAAAGATAGCACCCATTTCATTGATATTCTTCTGTGCGTCCTCCGGAGGACCCTTTCCCCATCCACTCGTGAGGACGAATCCAAAGTCTGCAACGTCAAGACTACTTCCATTAGTCTGCCTCAAGAACAACGACAACAAAGCTTTCTCTACTAGGACATAATGCCACGCTGGTTTTCCTCTGTCCTTCCCACGAACAAGGTAAATTCTCTCACTTGCATTCTCCTTGTACTTCACATTCACATCCGCTTTGCTTTCAAGTAAACATTTGACAATGTGTTTGTGTTTATTTTTGACGGCTAAGTAAAGCGCGGTTTGGCCTTTGTTGTTGCGCAAATTAATGTCGCATCCTGAATCAATTAGTAACCGGGAGACACTCAAGAATCCGTTTTCTGCGCACCCATGTAATCCCACCGTTTTTGAGAGACTTGGAAGACCCACATTGCCTCCATGCTTTAAAAGGATGCCAACGGCCATGTAGTTGTTCCAATCAGCTGCTAAAGACAAAGGTGCAATGTTGTCGTCTGTCCTCTGAGCAGTTATGTCAGCTCCAAGATCAATGAGGGTCTTAATAAACTCACCAGAGACTGATGGACTTGCCCACAACAAAGGTGTACGGTTGCTTTTTCCTGGTATGTTTATATCTACACCCTCGTTTAGAACAATCTCGACAGCCTTCTCTACATCATTGTTGTCTTTACACAAGTGCAGCTCAGTTAATGTATCGATCTTCTCAACTTCCATTTTATACAGTTCTTCTATTTTAACATTTCCTTCTCCTTTATCTTGGAGAGCCAAGAGAATCTCTAACGCAGTTTTTCCAGGAAATGCCTTTGCTTGGCGTCCTGTTTTTTGTAAATTCATGTCTTGGACAACATTCCCAAGATAGATAGTAGCTGTACAAAGCGTGCCATAGTCGCCATGAAATACAGCGGCCTGCAGTCTGTTGAAGCCGGATTGTGCATCTACATGGAGAAAAGCTTTTCTTGAAAGGGTCAGTAGGCTAGGCTGTAATGAAAAATAGGTTGTAGTTAATAATTTATCAAAAAAAGAAAAACAAAAATTCGTAACGGAAAAATAGTTCTTAGGTCAACATCAAACGATTCAGCTCATGTAGATGCGTCTGTTTTGTGTGACACTGATACAGATATGGTATGTCATGACGAGTTCAACATAATACTTAACAAAAAAACTAGTAGATCATCTAAAAGTTACTATTCAAAAACACTGAAAATGGCAATGTTGCATCGCAATCTTAAGTAATTAAGACAGGTTATATTTCGATTAAGATTGTATGAGTCATATTTTAAACCTCTTCGCGGTGGAACACTCTAAGATTGAACGGAGCGCATGTGAACAGCAAAATGTATGCCCTGCTGTTCGGTATATATGGAAGAAGACGCTAAGACCATAAAAAAGAAGCCGTGCACAAAACATAAAACTATTGCAAACTGGTAGTAAACAACCGTAAAGAAAAGAGAAGTTTGCTAAATCTTATCGAGTTATCCTGATACTCCTCTGTGTATGGAAAGATGTTTTAGAGGCAGTTCCAAAACAAAACATGAAAGAGGAATAAAGATTTGACCATACCGGTTGGTTGTAACTGGGACTCGCTTTATTCCTCAGAAGAAGCTCAATAATGGATCGGTGATTGTTGCGTTCAGCTTTTTGTAGCGCTGTTTTTTGAAACTGAAAGGTAAAAAATTGCCAATTTACAAAGGTCAAGATATATGAACTGTAACTCCCTCAATAACATGAATATTCCTGAACACGAGAAACAATTGATTGAAGAAAGGTTTCAACAGCTTATAGAAGTCTTTGCTTGCCTGACGTTGTTTATTTATACCGTATATCTGACGTATTCCAAAAGACAAACACAAGTATTTACCAACTTACCCTATCCACAGCATTGACATTTGCACCGTGCTTTAACAAGAGTTCCGCAACAGCTCGTTGCCCATACCATGCGGCAAGGTGAAGAGGCGTCAAATTGAACTGCAAAATCAAAGCAAAGCATAAGGTAAAGCTAAAATACCTTTCAATTTCGGATACAAAGGGGACAAAAACAGACACATTTAAACGCAAAATCGAGCGAGCAACCTCATCCATCTGGTCCACATCTTCACCATTTTCAAGAAGTACTTTAACAAAGTCACATCGGCCACTGATAGCAGCTTTGTGCAGTGTTCGCCTTGACAACTGTAAAAATAGGACAACTTTTTTAGCACATTGCTGGTAAGACACAACAATTGTTGGATGGGGTTTTTGTGATATCCAGAATAATCGAGGTCGAGGTGGGCCGAAGGCTGAGGCTGATTACCCTTACCGAGACCTTGATTATTCTGGATATCACAAAAACCGTATCTAATAATTGTATTATCATACATTAAGCGAAGAAAAAATGGTCTCGACAGTAAGTGGGACTAACATTTCATTTCTAAACGTGTAGAAATATACAAATCAGCAAGCAACGCCAAGCGCGCAAACTTGACATAATTACCCTTAGAAATCATGCACCGCGCTCGTACATGAGATGATTACCCGTGACCTTGAATGTCCTTTCCTTAACATGATTATTGTACAATCTGCAGCTAGATGACGTCCCAGGCGCATATTTCCTAAGCCAAATTTTGATTATTAATAGGGCTATCCGAAACGTATAATCCGCTGATTATCACCTTTTTCCAGATCAAGGAGAAAACTAGAGGGCAGAGAGGGAGGCTCCTGGTCCGGGATACGTCGAATCCAAAAAGACGAATTAACTTTTCTGAGATATTCGCATAAAGGATAACAGACATAACATCGAACTGATCTTCTGATTTAACCACAATTTGTCTTCATTGTTAAAGCATGTACTTCATCATAAAACTGTCACACAATTTAGTACTTGACTTACTTTGGCAATTGTCGCTCGAAGCTTACACGTCGATTCTGGGTTTTTGTTCTGGGGGAAGAAAGGCAATTTTAAAGTCAACGCATTCCAAGTAAAAATGTCTTTTTTTCAAGAAAACATTTGCACGTTACAGTTATAGTATACTACTCTAAGTCCTGCTTTCCGTGTGGGTCTTCCACTCGAATAAAAGTTGTATGTATAGCAAGTTAACTTTTCTTCAGTAATGGTTTGAGCCCAAGAGTGATATTTGATTGTGTAGTTTTTCCGCGGAGAAGGACTGTCGAAGGTAATGGGCACTGTCATTTCGAAAACCTTTCTATAACTCTTAGTCTATCTAATTGTCCTCTTGTTTTGATTCTCTCGGGTGATTTAAAACATGATTTCTATCCTCCTGTTAGTGTACATCGTAGCTAACACAATGTTGATTTTTCATTTACACGAGTTCTAGGCCTGGCAAACCCAACAACCACACGATTTCATATCAGCTCCAGTAAATAAATTACGTTTTTGTCTAAATCTGAGCTTTTGACTGGAAACTATCCGTTATCAGATTATGTTACCTCTTCACTCATTTGGCGGGTTTCTTTAGAAGTGGCGTCTGTAGACAAGACGCTTGATTCTGTAGAGTGAACACTCTTGCTACCTTCTTGATTTATAGCACTGACGCTGATGCCTGCATAATTTAACAAATGCAACCGGGTTAATGAAATAAAAAAAAGACGTGTATTTTTTAAAATAACCGAAGTACGCTCGGTGTATTTCTATATTTTTTTTTTTGTTCGCAGTTAAAGGTTCGACATGAGAATTATGTTAGAAACCCTTAAATTACAGAATGATTAGGACTCTTAATTATGTGCATTTTAACAGTACTGGCGTATCCAATGAGCAAGACTGCACACTTTTGCAACGTAATAATAACAGCTTATCTATCTGTATCTAACCACGTGGTCCTCAACTCGCTCGCGAGTGTCAAAGGGAAATTTACACACTTTTGTGGGTGAAATTGTTGGCGACCAGAAGAGTCTTACATCATTGTTTTTCAATGGAATTTTAAAAGTTGTTTTTAAACTTACCGTCGAGCTTGTGCTCAACTTTTCGAAGTAAGGATTCCATCCTATCAAATCTATCCATCATACTGGTGTGAAAGGAAAATAGCTTTTCTATCACTCTTTCGTTCTCCTCCCTAGTTGGTACGTCGTCCAATTTGTCATTAATTGAAGCAAGTTTGACGTTTTGGAATTTTTCAAGTAGATCTTTGACGTCATTGTCAACAATCCGCTTGAAACCTAAAAATGATGACTGTACAATAAATGGTGGTAATAATGATAATAGCAATAATAATGATGATATTAATAATAATGATAATAATAATAATAACGATAATAATAATAATAACAATGTCAATTCTGATGTCGATGATGATAATGATGATGACTGTATTGATATAACGCAGAGATTAAGCTAAGTAACTGGTGAGAGGAAATGATTTGTCACTGTAGATACGGCATTTGAGTAATAAATAAAACAGTTCCGACTTTATATTACTGAAGCGGGCTCCTCTGAGTTTGCTGTTCCGCTTACTTAATTGCAACGACCAGGTTGGCACAGGGGAAACCCCTGAAGCGGAAATTCGCGTGAGTTGCCGAGAGAATGAAAACATCATGGCAGTCGAAGGCGGTCTAGTTTGATTTGACGAGATTAATAGATGATAAATGATCACAAATATATTCAAAGGGCCATGAATGGAAGCCAGGAATATGCCCTGCCACAGATTATACAGTGGGCTTAATCCCTGTAAATGAAGAGTAGTCAAACCTGAGTTTGGTTCCTAAGCGGTTAATGTTCTCGAAACTTCGTTTAGACGTAGAAATTGAAAATGCAACCAAAAATATTTTATGTTTTCAAATCTCTGGGAAAAATGCCCTGTGATCCCTGAAAAGCCCGTCTCTGCTCTCTTTAAGCGTATTTCCATTTCTCTTGAGTTAACATCCGACCTGGAGAATTGCCATGTTAACAACCTATTCATTGAATGGTTAAATTCCACTACTTGAGTACCTTCTGTTTTCCATGCAGAGAGTTGATCTAAAAGCTTCTTTTTTTTGGCGGGAAGCAGGGGCAGATATTGGAGCAGAGCCTTTAACTTGTCAAAGCATTGGTCAAAGAAGATTTGGGTCCAGTCACTCTCTTTAAAATGACTTCCCCGATTCCTGACATTCTCTCTGACATCATCTGCCAACGACTGAATATCGTGCACAGGATCAGAAGACACGAATATTTGTACGGGATACTTCCTACATCCCAGTAGTCTAAGAGCGGCATTCAAATCCATAGATTTGTCGAATGCCGAGAATACTGCAAGGTAGTATGGAAGATAAAGCTTGGCAAGATCAACTGGGCTGTTTACATTGTAGTTATAAGCCGTTTTGGTCTTTCTATGAACACCAGAGTTGTTGTTAATATTTCCGAAATTTAGGTCTTTAAGCGAAGAAGCAGGACTTGGCGTGGCTGCCAGATGGCAAACATCTGCGTAGGTCAGTGTTTGTAGACTGCAAGGTGTCGGTAAGCCTTTAAGGTAATTATCTAGGATAGCAAACAGTTTGTCCATTCCTTGTTTCACGATATCCTGTAAAACTGGAGCAACGACCTTATTTGAGGTAACAAGAGTCACAAGCCATCTTTTGTCGTTACCGAAGACATCCATAGTAACAAATTTTTCTGCTCAATGTACTAAGTTCTGGATATGATCTGCAAAATACACATAATTTAAAAAAATGCATATTAGTAACAGAGGTGCTGTGGCTTTTAAACTAAAGAAATGTAGGCAGAAAGTTTCCATCACTGAAAATAAATAAAAACTGAAGGATAAGTCACCACTTGATCACAATGATTAAATTATCATTATCCCACAGTTGCAGCCCCACATTCAGTAACACAAAGAGGATGGAATCATGATTGCATCAAACTTTAAGGGCCAAGTTACTCATATCACACTCAGATTACAAATAAAAGAGGGAGCTTGGCCAAGGTGGTGTAAATGAAGTTTAATAAACGAGACCATAAAAAGAAGTTGTTCTTTCAGGTTCATACATCTTACGATCCATTGACTCCTACAACACATCGTCACACGAAGCAAACGACACAATCAATTCATGACAAATAGATATGGATCTATTCTATCTTTTATTGAATGGAAACTCTTCCGTTGCCTAAGAGCGGTTATTGTTTGACTAAGAGATACAGCCTCACAATGATTTTAATTGTTTTCAAAACACGTAACACTGCTTTTTAGCGTGTAATTCCCTTCTGGACGCTGCTCCAGTGAATAAAATGATTAGAGTGTGACAAAAACAAAACAAAACTAAAGTAAAAACAGCTCATGTCAGAGTTGTCACGGTATAGCGTGAGGAACTTGAGTGAAACGAAGCCCTCTGATCGCACGAGGAAATGATCGATAACTTTTTGCTTGAGGGAAAAGCCCGGTTAGCTTTTATTTCATCAAGATTTCCCACTCTTATTATCATTTACCCCCTTGGTGCTCTATTTCATTCAGTCTTTGTGACGATTACGAGTGTATGTTTGAGCCACTGAGGACTTCTTCTAGTTCCGGAAACACTCCAAAGAATTTTATATCTTTCCGGAGTCTTAACTTTGAACTCACGTAGCTGCTCTGGAGAATTTGAAGCTACCGACTCGAGCAAATACAGTTGTGCAACACCGTACTGTGTAAGAGTAGATCGGCAACAATTCTTCATTTTAACATTAAATATTGAACAGAGGAGCGTTAGGGTTAGCGTTAGGGTTAGGGTTGCTCGTCGTGAGCACATCATGATTTCAATCATACAAATAAGCCACATTTAACATACATTGCAGCAAACTAGGCACAAACAAATAAGAGGTTCCTGGAGGTTTTAAAATAAAAATAATTTCAATACCGTTGCATTCTCAGTGACTGACATTGAACTTTTACGCTCAGTTATCTCTAAAAGTACAACGCTTAACGAAATGGATTTGAACAACCTTCCTGCTTTCCAAATCAGTCAGGTGCCAACTCCGATAGCTTATTCGTTGTAAAATTAACCGACACACACTGAAATTTAAGGTGGCGCTCATTTGTAACGATGAAGTTTTGCGTAGCCTAAATGCACAGCAATTTCAAATTGAATGAGTGAAAACTATTATCAAATCTTAAATCCAAAACGAAATCGCAACTGATATTTACTTTCACTAAGTAAACAAGAAACTACCACAAATTTTCGTTTCTTGGTAACTGAGCCTTGCTTCTTCAGTTTGTGCTCATTGGCTTCCAATTTTCTAATTGTGCTCATTGGCTTCCAATTTTTCCAATTTTCCATTGTGGGTTCAATATGTGGAGAGATTGGAGGACAATATTCAAAAGATCGAGTCCTCTGTGCATTTTATTTCAAACCGCGGCGTATTGTCACCACCAAGCGCATAGTTTCCGTTCCAAATAGACAACTTTTGGATCTTAGTTTCGTCTTTACCTGGTTATTCGATTAGAATGATCATAACATGAAGCCATAGGATGCGTATTCTGCCAAACATCTCAAATCGCTTGTCTCGTAATTTGAATTCTTTGCGAGCAAGCAATTGCGATGTACTCCTTGTTAGATTCATTTCTCGCTGAAGCTTACCGTAATTTGAAGTTTTTCTTTTATTTCTTTTTTTTTTTTTGCACCTCTTGACAGATATTCATTCGTACAAAAATGTTCCGAAGAGACAATAATGTCTTAAAAATTATTATTGACCCAATTAGAGCGTGTTTTAAAGAAACCAACTGCAATAACGAGATGATTTGGACGGAAGTCTAAATCGTGCTATTTCGTTTGCGCGTATTTAGCATCAGTTGTTGTCGTGATTTCAAGGATGACTCGAGAATGAACACAAAATGGTGATAATTAACTAAGAGATGCGCCTCACGCGAATGATAGTGTTCGAATTTTTTCGTCTCAGTCCAAGAGTTCGTTAGATAAACCTCTGTTTCAGTTGTATTGAATTAACTGGTTAGCTTAGGGATTAAAAAGCTGTTAAGCCTACCTTAACACTCAACTTAAAGTGAGAAATATCCTCAAAAAAATATCCTTGAAGCTGCAAATAAGCGGCTGGGATGCTTGAAAAAATATCCACGAATTACGAAGGCACCTTTACACGCCAGTTCCTTCGAGGATTTAATAAAATATCGGAAATGGCGAGTGAAACATGAGATATTGTGCACTGGTTAGTTACGCCCCTAGCAACGGGAAAGCCCATCTTTGACCTTGCACAATCCTAAGCCAGGTGAGAAGTTGCCCTCAAAAATGAACTGACTTTGGATAGCTTCGTGTTAAGACAGAAATGACCTAACAAATGCAAACCTAAAAATGCTACAATTACCAAGAAAACTAGACTGAATTAGAAAAGTAAGAGGATCTCTATCAGACAATGACGTCATATTCGAATTCATCCGATAAACGACCGTTTTAACCTCCGATCTAAAAAAAACAGGTTCACACTTTTAACATCACGCAAGTACGTCGAGTGACATACGAGCGACATTCGAAATCTTAGACATACGGATTCACCGTCAAACCGGCCGGGATGCCTCCACAAATGGCCAGCGGTTACAACTGCTCCAACTCCACCTTCGTACCGTGAATGGACTATGAGTGAAATACTCAAGAATGCACAGTCACCTATGCAAAGTATAATGGTCATTAGTTGGATGCATCCCTAGAAAGGGGAAGTACATTTTATGTACAATGGATTTGAGCTTGGACCCATTTGAGGCCAAGTGCCAAAAAGTGCCTAAAAAGAGTTGATTTTCGATACCTTAATGTTTTAGATATACAAATGACTAAAAAACACAAACATTAAATATGCGGGAAAAAAACCGAAAAAAATTTCGTTTGAAAAAACAGGCAAACTGACAAACGACCTCAAACAGCACGAGCCCCAATATTTAATTGTAAATATTTTATTATGAATTGTAAATTGAGTGTTCACGGTAGCGTGACAGTAGTGTGACGGTAATAATTTATAAGCTTCCTTAGCCACGTCAGCGGTCGCGATCACAATGTAGAGCCTTGCCTCATCTCCTGGCTTCAAACCACAATTATAGCAAATTGGTTTTCCTAGCTGCACAGACAGATGCCGTGGTCTTTAAACGAAGTATCTTACGTGGAGGGAGACCAGTTTCCGCAAAATGAGACAGCACACAATTGTAATAGTGAAGAAAAATCAGAATTCAACAATAATTCAGCAACCAACACATTCGGCATTGGCTTGCGAGTTGTTCCTCTACACGACTGGAAATCAGATGAGGGCGATGGTGCCAGTATCCCAGACGGTGGTTTAGGCACAATTGTCGACTTTGTCGAGAATGCTGCTGATACATCTAAGAAGATGGCATTGGTACAGTGGGACGATGGAACTCGCTGTGTTTACAATGCAACCCGTAATGGTGTCTACGATCTTTGTATTTTTCATATGTCTTCTTTGGGTAAGTGGGTTGCTTTGCCACATCATGTTATGTGTGGCATTACACTTCTTTTCATGGTTTAAAAACGCATTAAGAAACATGACTCGGATCAAATAATGATCCAAGGAAGCTTTGATTAGTTGCAATAAGTTCCATGATATACTTTCGCTTTGAGAATGTAAAAATACAATTGCATGACAATTGCGCCGGAGGAAATCATAGTGAATTTCAGTTTGATATCACAAAAATCGTCTTTCATTTTTACGTCATGATATAGATCTTCTTTCCAGTTCATTTTAGTAAGTGATTTGTTTGAATATCTGACTTCAAAATACACCAATTAGCGGCCGAACAATGTTTTGGTGTCGACAAACATAAATCTTTTGAGAAGACGGAATATTAATTCTTGTAATCTTTCTCTCAACCTTCAAGGAATAAAACACGAAGGTGTCATCTGCCGTACGTGCAATCAAGACCCAATTCTCGGGATCCGTTGGAACTGCCTGGATTGCGAGGGTACTTCGGTGGACCTATGTTCAGCTTGTTACATGGCCGATGAACACAGTACAGCTCATGCCTTCTGGAGATATAATTCCGCCGATGACAAGGGGTAGGAATAACAATCATTTTATTTATTCAGACTGGATTAACGAAAAGTATCGATTTTTGTCGTTGCAAGCATAAAAATAACTCTGAAGTTTACTTTTCGATTTTAAATTTAACTTTAACCCCGTTTGTATCTCAAGCGAAAATATTCCTCTTATACATGTCATCACCTCAAGCGCTGGTAAGAGACTGTGTTGCGTGACGAGTTAAACAAAGACTGTCTTTGGGAGACTCTTCTTAAATGTATCGAAACATTTTGCAAGTTTTAACTTTAAGTATTTTTCAGTGATTTGTAACAGGAGAATGATGACAAGTGAGGGCAGAATTGATTTTAACTAAATTCTTTAATGATGCCGACGATAACAGTTCAGAGAGGAAATTTTTATATCAGTTAATTATTTGTCAGACAATCGGAAAGCGAATTTACCAGTCTAGTGTTTTTGTAATCAAGTTTAACCTGTGCTTGCATTCCATGTGTTTGTTTTCATAAGAGTTCAACTTTTGATATTGTTAGCTTGCTTCGGTAAACTACATCTAACCAAAGTACTTAGATATAGTTACGCATGATAGCCTTGGTGATCAGTTCTTTCATTCAGAGAAACCATGCTTTGTCTTATCTCTAGGTTAAATAGAATAAATGAATACAGGACAAAAGGTTAAATTATCCCTTAAAAAAATTCTTAATCTCTCTCACCGAAATTTTTAATTATTAAGAACTGACAACCATCAATTAATCCCTTAATATAATTTTCTTTTGTTTTTCTGTTGTTATGTTCTCGGTATGTTTTCAATCATTTCCTATCAGCCCAATCAAACTCTTGCCATCAGACTCGCTCGTTTTCCTCGGTGGTTCAACTCCTCATGTATTAAAGTGATTTGTTTAAGGTTTTTTTTGTTTAACCCGTAAAATACCTAGGGTTTGTGTGAACAGAAGAATTAACACAGAGGGAATCCGTGCAAGAGGTATCTTCCCAGGCGCACAAGTTGTAAGGGGTCCTGATTGGGAATATGGTGACACGGATGGAAACTCCTCTGGAACAGTGACAAATATAACATGTTGGCGTGGGAGCAATGCCATTGCAGTTCACGTTTTATGGGAAATTGGTACAAAAGGCAACTATCGACTGGGTCCTGATGGAAAGGTGGGTTAAAATCTTTCTAAAAAAACTTGGATTACTCTTGTAAAGATACGCACAATGCATCCCCTCACCCTCCCCCCCCCCCTCCTACAATGTAATGTGAACCTCTATGGCTACTACCTTTCTTGTACTTAAACATTGATGGTACTCGTTGGTAGTGGGGAAGGGGGCGAGGGTTAGGGAGAGGGGCTTTCTTAAAACAAGTGCAACCCGCTGCTGATCCGAGTACTTAGTATGAAGTAAGAACCATTCGCTTTTGTTTTACCGCAACTTATATTCGACTGATTTTTTTTATTGTTGCTGTAAAGGTCGATTTGAAGTGTATATCTGTTTTACTGATGAAACGATACTTATGTTCGTCTAATCTGTTGATTTGTTGCGGTAAAGGTGGATTTGAAGTGTATAACTGCTGCCTCTGGCGGTCTCTTCTACAAGTCTCACCTGCCAAGACTTGGACCTTTTCCACAGACATCACCTGACGTAGAACAAAGCCCAGACGAACCGGTTACAGGGTTAAAATCAAGCTCTCTAGCAGGCGAACAAGAAGATTCTTTTGTTGTAAGCCATAACAGTAGCATTCGCCCGCTATGTACAGAAGCTGGTTCAACAGTCAGTGAAGGATTACAACTGCAAACAGGAGCGAAAGGTGTCGAGGTGAGTTCTTTTTACTATCTGAATTCAGAGTGAATTGATAGATGATTCAGTCACCAAAATTCCCGATTTATAATCGATTTGGGGGCGGACACAAAGACAAAAAGTGTTAAGACACAGTCAAAAAGTTAAATAAAGTAAAGGTAAATCAGACACAACAAACAATCAACTTTATAGAAAACCAGAGCAAAATATTGCTAAGACATACGCAATTCAAAATCGATGGCGAAGGTGCAGTTTAATAGATATGATTGGAGGGAAAAAGCGAAATAAACTAAAACAAAAAACAAAGAAACATGGAGAATCACGGCAAATAGGGCATACTTTCGATCTATAATAGTAATAATAATAATAATAATAATGATAATAATATTAATAATAATAATAATAATCTTTAAAGAGGAAGTTCCCGTCACATTACGTGGATTTCAAGGAGGTCCTCTAAAATGCTAAGGAGGTACTAAAATGCTAATGTTATAATAATAGGCAAACGCTTGTAAATGATGGAATGTGGTTGTTGTTAATTTTGGTTGGGGTATGTCAGCAGAACACTACACCATAATCACAGGACTATAAATCACGAAAAATAATTACATAAACTCCAGTTCAGTGAGATATTCTTCGTCCCTCATCACTGATTAAATGGTTCGATTTTGTTGCTAGGCTCGGAGATCTTCGCTACATCGAGCATCAATTAATGGGGATTGGCACTTAGTGAAGAGGCTACTGGAGGATAGGCAGGATGTTGACCAAAGAGACAAGGTAGCTTTTGTTGTTATTTCTTTTGGTTCAAGTTGCTTATGAGTATTACTTCACAATTTATTTAAATGCATTCTTTGAGTCAGCAATTATATGTTCTCATTTCAAAAAGCTCAATGTCCCTTCTTTTACAGTTTTTGTTGACGCCCCTTCACCTTGCTTCATGGTATGGACACGAGCGTGTTGTCGAATTGTTGTTACAGCATGGTGCAGATGTAAATGCTGTGGACAGTGTAGGCGAATTTGTTTTATGTTTTCATGCACAAAAAGCACTTGAGGATTGATATTATCATGCGATGCTTTTGGTATACTATATCTTTATTTTAATGGATTTAGTAACATCCACAATTTCTTGGCTTGATTGATAGTAATTTAATCATAATTGATCCAAGCAGTATGCGAACGAGAACATAGCACGCATAGAATTCCCTTGCTTCTCATCAAGTTTCAGAAAACATCTCTTCAAAAGGCTGAGCGTCATAATTACTGCTCCATAATGAAGCTGCTCCTCAAGTATGGTGCATCTCAAAGTTATCAACAGCCGGTACGATATGATAATCTTATGTAATGTTTAAAAAACGAGCAGGAGTGTTTTATCGGGTTTAAAACCACGAGGCGTAGCCGAGTGGTTTTTGACCCGATGAAACACGTGCTGCGAGTTTTTTGAACGGCTTCAAAAACATTCTTGGAAAAGCGTGTGTCAAGAGAGTTCATAACAATTATGCTTTTGTGAACGTTAGAAATTAGCATACGAGAAAAACATTAGGGATTAAATTAGTATGCAAGAAAATCAAATCTCACACGTGTTTTGTACTTTTCTTCTACTAACCGAAGAGGACATGGCGTCCTGTTCCAGAGCTTTTCGGAAGCCTAAAAATGTCGAGGAAGAGAGGAATTTAATCGAGAATGCTATCCCAAAGTCAACACGTGCAGTGACAAAGTTAAATATGTTCCCACCATTTGTTGTGTCAGTTTCTGTGTTGATAATTAATTAATATTCATAAGTCACGTGCAGTGTCTTTATATCTGATAAAACACCGCATACTAATAAGGATGAGGTTTATCGATTTAAAGTCACTGCACGTGATGTATTATCTACCATTTGATAGGTTAATGGGCTTATGAATTATTAATGAGTTTTTGAAGATATTGTAATCTTGTTGATCAGTAACAAACAAGACTAGTATAACAGAGATAAATTATCGTGGCTTTATTCGATAATCTTACTGATCAGGCAGGGTCGAAAAAATCCCTTTTTTTCCCTTTTCCTATGCTTCTCATTCGACTTTCATATCGTAGATAAATCCTTGTTAAGGAAAATGTCTTCTTAATTTTTGCATTATCGTTTTGTCTCAGTTTCGGAAAAGCAACAGGAGATTTAGTGCCGATTTTTCAATTAAAAAGAGACATTGGTAGCCCCGAAATGATAAATATTTTCTGCCTTTTAATTGACAGAGGTAAAAAAAAAAGGTATTACACTAGTATTTGCTGATCCTTTAACTACGTCTGCCACGATTTTTTATAGTCTTGGATTTATCTGATGTAAGTGATAAAATCTGTTCGGAAGCGATGACGAAAATCTCCTTTAAAAGCAGGCACGTTTAATCGGTAAAAAGACAGTAAAACGGTAACGACTTAAAATACAAACTCAACAACAAAAACCCCCAAAATGCGACTAAAACTGAAAAAAAGCCACGCGAGAAATCGTACGCGTAACTTGCTTACGAACTGGTCGAATTCAAATGTCTCAGCGCGCGCGTGCTGATCGCACGACACGCCAGTTCGGTACTTTCTTCTTAACAAAATCATATATGTTTAAAGGGCCTGGGTAAATAATGGAACAAACGACGCGATAAGTAATAAGAAGATGAAATGAGTACAGGAAAGACTACCTGTCGTTCAATTTTTACGGTGATCCTTTGGCCAAAACCACTGACATTAATTTTTGATTTAATTTATTGCAGCTTAGTCTTGCTTCACTTTCGAAGAGGGCTTTCTTGGCGATTGATCAGAGCTCTGGGTTTAATATGCTACAGGCTGCCGTGTATGAAGGAGATTATCCCACAGTTGTAGCTGCCAGTGTGTACATTGATAACTTCCTGGAGCAAATGGCTATGGTAAGGACTCTAACTAGCGCCAGGTCATTTCCTGGAAAAACTGCTTTAGATATTGTTTCTGACTTAAACAAAGAAGGCCACGCCCAAATTAGGCAGATATATTTAGACCAGAAGGGGTGCATGCCCACAATTACAGAGCTCCACAAATGTGCTGACGATGGCGATGTTGAAAAAGCGGTCGAACTCGTTTTAAAAGACGGTATCGATGTGAACACCAAGGCTGAAGGAAATCGCACGCCTCTTCTTTGGGCCAGTTTACGATCTTCCAGTCTATATATCAAAACACTCATCGACCTCGGCGCTGACACAGCGTTTCAAAGAGAAGACCAATGCACGCCGTTGATGATGGCGACACATTGGAACAATTACATGGCCGTCTACCATCTCCCCAGGCAACAGATGAATGCAGACGTGAGTTGTAGCACGGGTCATGCCGCACTGCATGTTGCAGTGATGAAAGGATTTTTTCATATCTCTAATCTCCTTGTACGCTCTGGGTGCAATGTTACCTTGAAGACCAAAAGTGGTAAGACGCCACTCCGTCTGGCAGTTCAAAATGGACATAGACACCTCGTGAGGCTTTTGTTGGAAAACAATGCCGATGCGAACATGCGCGATGAAAGTAATGCAAATGAGAGGCTATTTCTTGTTCGGGGCAATGAGAAAGGAAGACCAGCCTGGTATTATATTATGGTTGAGAGATCTCTTTTGGGTTTGTTTCTGAAACGAACTCATGGAGGTAAACTAGATGTAAATAACTTTGGTACTATTATTCGATCAGGGTTGGGGGAGCCTCCTTCAGAAGCCGAAATAACAAAAAATTTGAACAAGTCGAGTGAATTTCGGAAAGATCCTATAGGTAAGACACCCCTCCACATTGCGTGTGAAATTGAAAATGGAAACCTTGAAGTCATTGAGCTTTTGGTTAAGTATGGCGGAGAGATAAATGCTCGAGATGGAGATGGCTTCACTCCACTGCAGACGGCAGCAATACTTGGCAAGATGCAGACTGTTACAAAGCTTGTGGAGCTAAAAGCCGATGTCAATTTGACTACGAAAGATGGAAAAGATGCCGCCGACCTAGCTCAAATGAACGAAGAACCTATGATAGAGGAATACCTCAAATCAAGAAGGAACTCCCTCATGAGGATTTGGAATTCATTAGTCAAAAGTTAGATGAGCTAGTAAACCGTATAGAAATTTGGGCTGAACCAATTGCATTCCGATTTCTCAGGAAAATACAACTTCTCATCTATTTCATCTTGGGTTTTCTCAGGCTTACAATACTTGAAATAAGTCCTTTAAATATTGGTGATTCTACAAACAATTAAAAAAAAGCCACATGTTTGGCAATTTCCAATTTTGGAGACCATAACTCTATCATTTCCCTATAAAAAAGGAAAATTGGTGCATACTCCCTTCCCTTTAAGGATCCTTGATGGAGATGAATGAGATCATAGGAAGATTCAGTTGCAGATATCTTTTCCTAGATTAATCATTAAGTTTTACCATGGTGGTCTTGTAACGTAATGGAGAAAATATCCGAGCGAAACCACTTCATTAGGACACCGATCGCTATTTCCTAGTAACTCAAATCAAAATTTAGTTGGAGTTATTGTTGTTGTTCCCAGATATGAGATAACTTTTCTTGTGAAACTTGATCTTAAAGTGCTCTTTCAAGAATCCCTGTAGGAACAAAGGTTTTTATTTTTATTTGAAATAACAGCGTACACATCGTTCTGATGTGGGACAGGGATTTCATATTTCCTCTATCTGCGCTATTAGAGATGTAATTGCGCATAGCCTAGAAAATATTTGAGAAAAATTCTGTTCCAAATTGAAATGTTGTCTCATTCTTATCGAGTTAAATATTTTTCATGAGATAAGAATTGAATGTGATATGGCATAACTGAAGAACTTAATTGCATCGGGAAGTGACTCGGATGGCCATGGTTACGTTTCGATGCTTTTATCGGATGGCATTCCTTTTTTTATCAACTGTTTTTCTCCTAAAATGCTGTCTCTTGGTGTTTCTGTTCTTGTATGCCACACATAAACCTGATAAGAGATTGCAAATGATGTAATGATGTAATGATCAGTTTGTATTCAAAGATACGGGAAGAACATGAAATATCTGACTATCCTTGCCTGCCCGTAAGAGCAATGTGGAATGGCCATTGCTATTGCAAAAAGTAAAATTCTTCAGGAATCCTCATTACATACGCTCTTTTCTTCCTTGCTGTTAGCAGGAGTTTCATAGAATTAAAGCCTAGATATCTTAGAATAATTGAATAACGAAGCCCTATTCTGCATCAGAACAGCAATGGCCCAAAAGGAGATTTTAATCTGAGTAATTCCAATCTTTGTACTAAATTTGCCGTCAACAGACGACTCTTAACTTGAAATTCATATACTACAAAGTGATCGTCGTCCCATACAAAGGCACCCATTATACTATCCTTACCTTGCTACAGTTTGGAGTAACCGGTTCCAGTTGTTCCACTTTAGTTATTTGGCTCAATAATGATGATTCTAACATTCCAGGCTTCTCTACTGCTACAAACTTGGCGTTTGGGAAGTCAATCAACAGCTTTCTTAGATTCACCGCGAATGCAGCCATATCGATAGGAAACGGACGAAACCGACCCCACTTTGCATGAAAACCGACAACCTTACCATTCTTACATAAGGGACCTGCCCAACGCGCTGCACCTGTAAATGCCACTGGCCAAACACCGACTCCTTGTATCCAACGCATCTTTAAAAAAAATGTCATGAATTCATTTTGGTGAACTATCTGTTGAGAGTATCCGATAAATTTAAGTTGCCTAACCCTTTAACCCCTTATCTCCTAATTTCTCTTTACAATATCATCCCCGAATCACACATTTAGGTTACGAGAATAAAGGCTATGATCACCAGTGAAAGAGGTGCTTGATTGTTGAACAAATTCTCCTTGTCAGCGCCTTGGGAAATGTATAGAGTATAATATGGAGAGTTTGCATACTGATGTTAGGATGTAAAGGATTAAGGAATAGACTAATACCCAACATTGGTATGAGACTATCCTGCCAATTTCCCCTCTTTCAACTACCGATGTCAGATTGATCTAATTTCCCCACACAAATTCCACAAAGAAAAGAAACTCGCGGAGTAAAAATTCTGCATCAGAATTCCATACCTCGTCAAAGATTTTACTATCATATGTATTGTCATCGTCTGCAAAATAAATTACTCCAGACGTTCTGTGAGGATCAATGTTTTCGCGTAGCCACTGAATACCCAGATTCCTCTGTACCACACCACGGGGTTTCATTCGTCGCATTTCATTCCGATGGCGGCGTAAAATGTCAGGAGTTCTTACATTTAGATGAGTGTACTTCAAACCCGAAGTCCTCAGAAAATTCGCAACTAAGTCAGTTTTATTAACAGCGTCTTCGACCACAATCCAATGAAGGTTTTTGACAGGCTTCAGAGCTTGATAGACTCGAGTAAGCTCAGCTTTCTGTACGAAACGTTTGAACGTAGGAGTAATAACAAAAACTGTAGGAAGATTTAATTCATCGGCTCTCTTAAGCCTGTTCAGTTCACTTCCACCTCTGAATTTATGAACGCTGCGAAGCTCGGTGGTTAGCCGGATAATATTCTTTTTCAATTCTTCCTCCGTTTTTCTCGCTTTTATCAAGTTCTCAAGAAGTGATTGTTGTTTCCCCTCCACTGCTTTTACTTCTTTATTATCTTTTACCCTGCTTGACACTTTTCCCCCTTTTCCTTCTGTCCAGGGCTTCTCCGTTTTCTCACCTAGGTACATGGAAGACAAAGCTTTTTAGTTCTTTCTTTTAAATCTCAAACATGTTCATTACAGGAGGGACTCAATGGAGGTTAACCGCTGGCCGTAAAAAGGTTAAGAAATTAAAAGCTGAGTGTGGAAAAACGGAAAAATCTAACCTTCAACCGTTAAAATTCTTAACCTTTTAACTCCCATGAATGACCAAGACAGAATTTCTCCTTACAATATCAAAACAATATCATGCAGAAAAGTGATGAGAATAAAGAGCAATATCAATATGGAGAATATTAGTTGATCCAATATCAAATTCTCCAAACAAACATCATAAGAACTGTATGGCAGACACTAAGGAAAATTACTAATGAGATCTTGAGAGTTAAAGGGTTAACCGGTAGCCATAAAACGGCCCTAAATCAAAACCTTTGGGCATAAAAGCCGCAAAATTTGTAAGCTGTAAGCGCCACAACTCCTTCGAGAACCTCATAGATGAAGTTTGTTCTCCCAACTATAAATGAGTGGCACTCTCTACATCCAGAACAAACTCGAGACTCTTCATCCAATTTTTCGTTCATTACAGATTACTTATCGATATTGACAGAATATCTAGTTAAAAAAAAAAAAAAAAAAAAAAAAAAAAAAAAGAAAAGAGGAAGGAGAAACCTTGACAGAGATTGTTATTCTCAAACTTGGAATGGTGTAAATACTGACCTCCTTGTAACAAGGTAGCAATTTCTCTCGCAGTCATTGCATTATGGACGCTGTTTACAGTGATACAAACGGACTCGTCTTTAAGCATGAGATACGCGAACAGGCTCACAAAGATGACAAGTAAAAGAAACTTCGTACATCGTATCCGGTTCATTTCGCAGTGCACAGGGTACTCGTGTTGACAAGCTTCATAGCATCAAAAGGCATCAAGACATAACACGTTAACCTGAAAGACATCCATAATTTCAAACTTCATTGGTGCGACAACAAATCTTTCGTTTTCACCTTTTGTTTCCCATGTTAGTCATCCACGGTCTGTATGGTTCTTAGTAATTAAAACCATAACAAAATTCTCGAACGTGATTGGTTATCACCAGCCCGTTCTGAGCACTAATAGGACAGTGCACGCGTCATGCTTGTAATTGGGCAGTGTAATAGGACGGTTGATACGTCATGCCTGTGTAAGTGAACAGTACGCGTCATGAACGTACGCTGTTGTCGTGCATTTCCCCAAGTTAACTGTTGTTTCTTTCACGAACACTTATAACCAACGCCTAGGAGTGATAGACAAAATCGGTCGACCGCGAAGCGGGAGTCCGATTTGTTTATCACGAGTATGATTACTGACAGAATTGGGTGACAAGAAGTCCTTTCATCATAAAAATTGGGATGTGCCATTGCCTTTTTCTGATTATATATATAAGTTAAAGAATCAAAGAGGACACATCGATTCTTTGTGACTCTGAGTTTCGCGCCTAAGCGCTCGTCAGACAGAACTTTTCTTCAGACAGAAAATTCTGTCTGCGGACGAGCGCTTAGGCGCCAAACTCAGAGTCACAGAGAATCGATGTGTCCTCTTTGATTCTTTAACTAATATAAACTCAGCTCTGCTACCACAGCATTGAGCACTTTATCCCAAGGTAGACTCTACCCCCATTTATATATATATATATATATATATATATATATATATATATATATATATATATATATATATATATAGATATATATATATATATTCCAAAAGTTAGACGGGAAGTTTAGCTGTTAAGCAACAGAGAAGTTATTTTGCTACGCCAAACATCGTTAAACGACGAAAACTTTCCATCGAGAGAGATACAGATCTAGTTAAAAGATACAGATCTAGTCTAGTTAAAACGTGCATTTAAGAAAATGCAGGTATAAGTCGGTCAGAATGAATTAGAGATATACATCTTCGGAATCTCAACAAATTGTTGCACTGCAGAGAGGATGAACAATGTGTTGGAATAGTTCCTATGAAAGGTCATCAGGTCACGCTACAAACACTAGTGCTGCATGGAAATCTTCGATTGTGATAAGTGCCAACAACATCGTTAGTCTGGTCTGATTTTCTGGAAAAGTAGCGCAACCCACGATTAATTGATTTGAGCTGACAATATTGAGGGACGGAGTTTCTCTCATACGCTGAGGATGCTGCACACTGGAACTTGCTTGTGAACTTGCAAGTTTAAAATAACCTGAGGGAATGGCGAAGTGTACGATCAATTGATGGTAGTTATGATTAGGTGGCCGGAAGATTTTTGAAAGCTTGAAGCCGTACAAAAGCCAACTGAAAATTTAAGAAGGTCTTTAAAATAACAAACATCTAGGCAAAAAGAACTGCGAGTCCAAAATCTCCAAAGTCTTTAACATTCCAAATCCTTATTCATCATTCATCTGGAAGGAAGAGAAAGAAAATGAACCTTCGTTTGTTTTAGTGACCGAAAGAAGCTTGTAACTAGTGAAGTAGTTTTTAAGTGGCATTTGCGGCAAAAAATATCAGTACCCCATTGTTTTTAAAGGTTTTCAGAGATGAAAGGATGAATGATTTCGACATTAAAAATTCCTTCTGTAACTTCCAAGCAAGCAGAGATATTTGACTAAAATTACCATATGTGTTAGAATGAATGAAAAGTTTTAGAAAGGCGGTCACTTATGTTTAGAGGTCAATCAAATCGACCTTCACTTCTTTATTTCGTTTATAAAGGGTGCACCATTATGTTTGCAAACTATCGTAGCTTAAGATGGCAATCGTGCATTTTGCCTGTCTTTGAGGCGATTTTCATAGTGAAAGTCTAGTAAACCCATCGGGGGAGGACTGCTGTCACACCTCCGAAAAAAAAAACCGAAACAGAAAGCAGTTCATATCGAAAGGTAAGTTGTGGTTTGTTATCGTGGTAAATAACACTTCCAGAAGAGAATTATAATCCCTTGTCTCACGATGTGGTCAGTGCAGATGTGGATCCCGACGTTGCGATTGCATACTGCTAATCTTCTTCAGGCGATGAGGTCGACTGAGCACTCGTCACCTATTTAAGTTTTTTGATTCTCCCCTGCACAGATCTACCAGTCTCGCCGATGCAGACTTTGCCGCATTCACTTGGAATCCTGTGGACAACGCTATCCTGTTAACCGGGTCAACGGCAGATGACAGATATTTCCTCCCCATGGAACTAAAAAAAGGGTTTCGTTACAGGACGTTTACACGCTCTTAAAAGCACTTGACAAAGTGGATGACTAAAAAGATCGCGAGATCTACATGATTCCTTGTTAGTGCAACCCGGCAAAACAGGATGGCCTGAATATGTAGTACGCAGTCGAAACGTCGCGATCCACATCTGCAGTAACCACATCGTGAGACAAACGATTCTAATTATCTTTGGAAAGAAAGCAGGTGATCTCTTTAAGTTTTGAGGTAGATCCTTTACGCTTGCAAAGTTTCTCTGAAATCGGTGAAATGGTACATAGCGCACCTGTCTGAAGCTCTTAAAGACTCGCTCTCAGGCCTTAATTTATCGACAAAAATGGAGCAGACTCCAACTTATCCTAAAGTATAATAAAAACATTTCCTTAATAGATAAATCGAAGATGTGGTTGTACTGGAATGATGATCTTTGAAACGCTACTAGCGCACTACCAATGTATTCAAGGTTTTGCAAAATTTTTTGTTAGAACGTGCAACAATATTTTTGTATCGCCACAGAGGATCTCACCTTTTCGCAGTCTGATGAACGTCTTTCTTTCATTTACAAAATCTTGCCGTTATTATGGCTTTTCGAAGTAAAGAAATAGTCTATTCCTGCGCCTATCAAATGCAAACAGCATGGATAGTCTTTGTTTCTCGAAGCAATTCTCGCTCTTAAAGGACCACCTGTCAGTGTTACTGGTCACAAGTCGTTTGCTCAAACGGGTACCATTCTTGTGCGTAGCGCTTCGCATTGCTTCCAGTGTAACTGTACGGTTTCAAGAGTTTCAGGACTCGGCACATGATTCAAATGAAAGGAGACCGGATGACGCTGCGTATACTTTCAAGCATGCATTGAGGAAAAGCTTTGTAACCTCTCCATTTGGCAGAACATTTTGAACGATAAAGGAAAGGACGAACTTGCTTGGAATCCTCTTCGTCCATGTGGAACGTAGAAATGTTCAAGAATTGTCATTGAAATGTCGGTGTAGTCACGTAGACGGAAATCATTTTTTTCTTCACGGTTTAACACTTTATTTCTTAAGCAGCGGCTCTCGTTAGCTCACGTAGTGAAAACCTTTGGTCTTTCTCAAAACAGGACTCGTTTCCGAGAGACAAGTAACTGGTGATAATGAACTACAGGTACCCATTCATTAAAATAACGACGCACAATTAAAAAGTTTCAAAAACCTTGTACGAAAAGGATGGCCACTTATAGAAATCGCAATTATTGTTAGAAAGTGAAAGACTTAAGTCTTAAAAATTTCAAATGAATTCATCTGGGAACCTCAAGCCCATTGCTGAAAAAGTTCAATCGACATTTTGACCTAGTGTTGATCCTCTCGTAATTACAGAAAATTTTTAATATTTAGTCTTCCACTAACTGTAAAAAAACGCTACTCGAGCCTCAACATTTACTTGGCCTCGGTCTTACAAATGGATTGTGCTCTCCACTGGATAAATCCCTATCCACTTTTCAGTGAATAGTGCAGTTTGTTTTGTTAACACTCGTCCGCTGGATGGCGATTTATCCGTTGGATAGTATTATCCATCCTTTAAACAACTGGGTACTGATCAATTAGCTAAAACACAGTCTGTTCTTGTACAGTTTTTTTAAATTGTTGATCCTGAACTCGGCTCGCATTTGACGGTCCATTTCATGGAACAAGTCTTGTTCAGAAAAATAGGACTTAATGGCCACCGTTCCATGTTTGAGGCAAAAACTCTTTCTCCCTCAATACGCCTGAAATATCCCAGGCGTTCTGTTTTGAGCATTCACAAACGAAGGGAGAATAGAAACCACACTTCTCCAGCAGTCTAAAGAACCTTGCGCGGGCCTTTTCGAAAAATGAAAGGAAGTTGACATTGACTAGTATGTACATGCCCTCTGAATGCAACACGGAAATGGATATTAAGACGCATTAGAGGATAAAGTGAGCTCACTTCATGGTCTCTCGAGTGACGTTAATATAGCAGTGTCATGGTATATTGTACTGTATTGACTGAAGATGAACAATTTTTTTTTCCTTTAAAGACGCAACACCATTTTGAAAAGTATAACGTGCGCAGATCAATAAAGGTTTCATTATGATAATCAGAGGATTGACTGCTCATTTTATATGGCCGAGAACCTCTAAATAAGGCGTGTCCACTTTGATTTGACTTTTCTAACGATGTGGTGTGCCATGGCACACAAATTGTAAGTGTTCTACGTACTTAATTTTTATCTATCCGTTCTAAAAATACAGATTTACTGTGAGAGTTTTATGGTGAGATATGATCTACCTGGAAAAAACTGTACTAATCTCTCCTTACTGGGGGGAATAAGAAGCGGCAAACACATCGTTTGGTCACTTTGAACGGTTAGTGAAAGAGTTGAGCGAGGGATGAGTGGTTGAGCTTCTGATGGGATAAATTGCTTTATCTATAACTTCTTTCACATTTTAAGCTCTTCTATAACATGACCTCAGAGCCCTTACCTCGAGCAAAGTTCTTTCGTACTTTTTAGAATGGTTATCATGGAGTCTCATAGGATTTCGACATTCACTCTTAAAATAATTTCATAGAACGATTGAGGGTCCTTTTAAACCTGTACATTCTTTCTTCATACCTCATCATTTACAAATGTCAAAGCGGAAACAACTTTTACCTCTTCTCAAATCTATTTAAGGCTTACTAGACAGGAAGTCACTTGACATTCGCTCCGAGTGTTTTTCTGGTACTCGGTGGCATTTTACCTCAATAAGAACGCAATTGTAAACTCTTGTACAAGTGTTACCTATTTTGGCACGCACAACAAAGAGTCACTTGAGATCCTCTCTTAGTGTACTTCTAGCACTCGATGGTATCACAGATATCAGTGAAAACTTTTACTTACAATCGAGTGCAAACTCAGTAAAATTCAATACTCATAAAACTTAAGTTCAATGTTGCCCAATCAGCAACATTGAACGTATTTGCAATGTCTTATAATAAATTATGGTCAGTACAACCCATACCATAATGTGTCGTTTATCTTTGTTTTTCCTGTAACTGACTTATTCAGGTTGACAATACGAACGCTCTAGTATGCATTAGTTGTCTTTTCTATCACTGCTTTGCAGTTGGACAGCGTAAATGATGCGAGTAAATAATGATTGTGGTTGATAACGAGCCTAATTTTAAATTATAAAAATAGTAATGCGTTCGACTTTAACGACGACAGCTGGATCACTTTTTACCGATACGAAGACTGAAACAACTACATGGACATTTATTCGGTAACGAATAAGGTTAGCCATGATGTTTCAAATAGGAACGGTTATCCAGACCAAAAATGCTTCACTGCCACGGAACGCTAGTTTTAAGTTGGCCAATATAAGCTGTACGAAAGCCACTTAACTCTTTGATAACCTCAGCCAGGAGTGGGAACCGCTGGGAAAGGAATTATGTTAACTTTTCTCGTCTTACGTTACCTGTTGAAGCCAGTGAATGCAACGTTTTTTATCCAAATAAATGACTCCATATTTCAGGTCCTCTCCTGGTATCACTTTTTGTCACATCACAATTGCACTTCAGCGTTTTTGAATTGTGCATACTATCCTTCGTTTGCCCTTGAAAGCTTGCATACGCATTGTTTTCAATTTCTCTTGGGACCCGCTAGTATCCGAAGAAAGACTAAAAACCATGGCATGCTCGCGCAAAATTTTTAGGAACGCAAACAAATCTTTTTACTGTGAAATCGAAATTGTCTTTATTCTCTTATTGGTCGTAACTATCAGGGCTGAAGTCACCGCGAATTTACGCCGAAATTTCAAAGAAGTGGCTTTTTCCGTTTATTTTTTATCCCTTGGTAAACTCAACTTAAATCTTCGCCTCGAGAATTATACAAATGAAACTATAAAAGCACTCACTCGAGCTTAACCTATTCACTCTACTCGAGCGAAGAAATTAACGAGCGGCCCTCTCAAGTCCAACATTGTTATGCGTGGCCATACACCTTTCAGGAAATCAGGAAAAAAAATTCTTAGTCAGTTATAGCATCAAGTTAGCAGCTGTGGACTGTTGCTTGGCCTGTATTAGTAATAATAAGGAAGTCAGTTATTGAGATTCCATCACAGAAAGATGCAGAGATACATCTGTGGTACAATTGCAGCATCAGGGGATTTGCACATTCTGTAACTCTCACCGACCATTAACCTAAACACCCTTTTGAATTCACAGCTGCAACCCACATGAGTGAAATTTATTTGAAGTGGAAACTCGGCGCTGTCATGTTATCTACGCCATGATGTGTGGTTATGGCTGAATTAAGTTTTCATGGCTGCTAAGATAATAGGTAACGTTTAGTATTTTAGTATAAATATGTCATAATGACACTACAATTATCGCCTTCAAATGCCATTCTGGAATCACCACTTTGTCGTCCCAGCCGCTATCCCCAAAACAATGTACAGATATATATTACCTTGCCCTAGAAATGGTTCAATTTCTTTGAAGAGAAGTGCAAGGATAAATTCACCGCTTCCCACCTTGTACGTCCAATAATTTTTCCTTATGTTTGTGACCCTTACGCTGCAATATGAGATAATATTCTAAATTTAAATATTGAACCTCCCAAAGTGTTAAGCTGGTACAAACTAGCCACTGTTATCGTGCGCGTGAAACGATAGTTGTTTTGTTTCAGGAGTCCCAAGGCGATCGTGCAAGTAATTGTGGCAACCGCGAAAAATCATTCGAACCAACATGGCATCGCTCCTACAATTCCATTTTTCAAAGTAGCCGATATCTCTTTCGATATTTTCTCACTTTCATTTATTTCATCTACAAAAACAACTGCTAACATCAACAAACTATTTTTGACAATTTAACGAAAATCTGTTTTAAAAGTAGAGCCCACGGTTTCTATTGCATTCGCTCTTACGTAATCGTTGATTCCTCAGAGAGCAGTTTGGGTTTCGTGGCCGGGTTAAGGCCAATTTTAAACTAACCTCAAGGTATTGGCGCCACCCTTATCCTTGCACACAATATATATGATTAACGGATATAACAAAGAACAAATTTATCACAATTATGCCCATGTTAGACCGAGGAGTGCAAAGCAACTTCTCGTACTTGGAACTGCGCATTGGAGTGGAAATAAATTGGTCCCTGCTACATAAAATCGTAAAAATCTTAGCTGGAGCTTTGAAAAACCCTGAAATACCTTCCTAAATATAACAAGCACCAAAACGCATTCCTAGGACATATCTTGCATATTTCTTCAACTATAGAATGGAAAAGTGTTTTATCTCAAGTACTTTGTTAGATCTCTAGGAATTCATGCCAGGATCACAAGCATTTGTTCCACCAACACTAACGAGTATCACATTGGCGTTATATCTGTCATGCGCTGAATAGCAAGAAATGTTAACCTTTGCTCTTTATGGTACTTAGTTCTCTTCTCTTTCGAAAACAACCGAAGAAAATGTAATTAATTAACTGTATTTTTTCCCACTGACAAATATTATCTTACAATCATCGACTCAGAGTTTTAAGTCAAGCAATTTTTGTCACTTGAGAATAGCTTTGAAGTACTTTCCATTTAGCAGCTTTATATATGTCAGTTGAATGCTCTTCTGAGGGTCTTATATTGGACATGGGGATATATTCACTTGGGACAAACGCTCGGTGGAGTT